GATATGTCAGGGACTTGTATAAACTTGTTCAGGAAATTCTCAGTGAAACTGAGAATTGCAGCTGCTGGAGCTGCTACCAGAGGACTCCCAGTAACAAAGGTGGCCAGAGGCTTTTCCTGTTGATGGGAACAGGCATTGTTCTGCACTGGGAGTGAACTGGCTGTCAGCCCTGAGCATGAAGCTTGTCCTGAAGGTGCAGAGCAGATTTCTCCAGCCCTGCTCCTCCCACCTCACACACAGGCTCTGCTGAGCGCTGCCACGGGGCCAAGCTGAGCCCTGTCGGCACATTCACACACCAGGCTGCAGGTGGCTTTGAAGGACTTCTTTCATGAGTTTCACTTATCTTGTGAGGTTGTTTGTGTGTAAGATGGTTGGAAAGAAGAGCAAGCTTGAGAAAGGGTGAAATCAGAAAATCCTTTAACCTGTTCAGCTCTTGTTTGGTTGCCTCAATGACCTGATCTGTACCTGACTGCACATGAAAAAGCCATTTTAATGTACAGTTTGTTCCTGCAGAGTTTGACCTGGGGCTTTTTGTAAATCTGATCTTTAGCAAGCTTTTATATTTTTAATGGTATTCAAATTTGCAAGTGAGTTCCCCACGTTCTATTTTTGGTGTCCTGTATTTCCTTTCTGGGGGTGAAGTGCTACACACGCTTTACTCTCTCAGTGCAGCTGAAGTGATGCTGGAGTTGCTCTGAGTTTTTGTGCAGCACCATCAGCCATGACAAGCCCCAGGAACGGGACAAGGCTCTTGGTGCAGGTGTTTGTCCCATGCTCTCTGATTCCTTTCTTAAGAATCTATTCATCTGGTGCCCATATTTCTCACACAGCACATTTTGTAAAGGGTTTCTGTGCTGCTGAAGGGGCTGAGTCTCCCCCTTTGGGCCCAAATCAACCTTTTCTGAAGATTTAACACTGCTTGGATATGATAGACATGATGGGTATGCTCAGCAAGAAGAAATTGCCCTTGCTGTCCTATCAGGGAGAGAAATCTGGAATGGTTCCCTTTAATCCTGTTTGTGGATACATCAGCAAACATGTGACCTTGTCCTTGGACACTGTCCTTGGAGCTTAAGAACCTTCAGAAGGAATGGATGGGCACATAGTTTCTCATTAATAGCATGGAGATTCATGAATTCTGTCCATTTACTGACTCTTATCTCAAGGAAAGTAAAACAGTTGTTAAAAAAGTAATTTCTGTTGCAAAAATATATTTTATTTTCTGTATCTAGAAAACGCCACAATTGAACTTTGTGTGGAAGCTTCACTGCATTACTTATGTAATTCCAAAGCTGTGCCTGGTTTCCCCCAGGTTTAACTCTTGGATGGCATTTTGCTGGTGTGCACATATTGATCAGCTCTTTCTCCTCTTCCAGAGATCTATCGGATTGTTTCCCAGAAGCAGATGTCTGACAGACGTGAGAATGACATGTCCCCAAGCAACAACGTGGTTCCCATCCACGTCCCTCCAACCACTGAAAACAAACCAAAGATGCAGTGCTGTCAGAATATATAAATTGTCCATTCTTTCCTAAAAGGCTGTGTATATTCCCCAGGTCCAAGATTTAAATATATTTGTAATTCTCATGGTTACATTCTTGTGTTTAGTTACTGCTTATTCCTTCTCCATGAATTTCTCCATGTCTTAAACACTTTGATTTCAGTGTTTATCAGTCTCTTACTTGGATGTGGCTGCAGTATTTTCCCAACACCGACCTGTTGGTTTGGGCTCAGTAAATTGCTTGGAGCTCAGCTGATCCCTTCCCAACATGATGCCCACTAGTCAGAGCACTGACACCTTTGGAGAGCACTTGAAGACGTTATCCTGCTCCTCACAAAACAATTACTGTCAGGTTAACAAGGAATATCTCTCTGGGCAGAATAATCTTTCCTTGTCTTAAGGTGTTGCATTCTGCATCTAAAACTTGATGAAGCTCTGAAGTGCAATTTTATTGTAAGTTAAATGTTTTTGGCTACATCTTCAGATTGTCAAGTGGAGTTTTATAGGATATTATGGGGGAGAAAAGAGAATTTCTTGCAAACAAGCAGCAGTTAGCAGCAGTTCTGGCTACCTGTGAGTGAGGTGCTGTGGTTTGGCACCTGCTGCAGAGGAGGTTGATGTGAGGCAGAGCTGCTGGGACCCCACGGAGGTGCCCCTTGGGAAGGAGATGAACACAGGGGCTACGTCCGTGAGGAGGGGTCACTCCAGCTCTGGAACTTGCAGCATCTTTGTGCTGCTGGAGGCTTGGCCTCCACAGTGCTGGTGGTATCAGGATTTGAGGATGCCTTTTTTTCTTTCATGGGACACAGACTTGAAGGGTGTTGGCACTTTTACATATCACATCTATCAATGCATGCCACATATATTAATATATACAAATGCTTGAGTTCATGAATGAATAACTTCTACTACCTGGCCTTAGTTTTCAGTTCTGGTGGATCCAGTATTTTAAAATTATTCCAGTGGTTTGATGTATGTTCTTTAACAAAACCCTCTGGAGTAGTTTTCTGTCTGGATGTGTTCCTCCTGTGGTCTGTTGCTCCGTAGCAATCCTGTCCAGTCTGCCTGTTCAGGGATACATGACCTGTGCCTTCTGTCACTCGCTCTGTGCTGTCCTGAGCACGCCTGACACTGGCACTGGGGGCCACAGCCACTGCATTCCCACAGGATTTAAAGGAACTCTCTGTCGTGTAAATGCCTGCAGTTATTTATACAATTACAAGGAAGAAATTGATTGTAGGGGATGTTTCTCAAACTCTGATATGACCCACTTGGAAGATCCAGATGTGGTTGGCACTTCCAGCTGTGTTCTGTTCCCAACCTTTCTGTCTCGCGGTGCTCATGATGTGTGAGGCACACGGAAGGCATTGCTGTAGTCGGTCACTTCTTGTTTTCTACTCCATTTCTCCTCCTGGTATTAGTTCTGAAGATGCTATTTTGATCTATTTGTAAATTACTTTGTATTTTATGCATGTACTGTACTTTGATTCATTATTTTTTTAGATTGATTTAAAATATATTCATCATGATTCTAATAAAGAATTACAGGGGACAACTCACTGTGGTATTGGTTGCACTTCTTGGGAGAATTGGGATTTGACCTGAAGGTTTTACCTCTGAGCTGCTTGGAAGAGGCAGTGAGAAGACACTGGAGTGGAAGTGTCTCTGGAAAAGGAGCTGAAAATGTTGTGTAGTGCAGTTGCCTTCCCTGAGAGCAGCTCTGAGCTTCCTGGGGCTGCTGCAGTTTGTAGCCAGGGCATTTTGGCAGCTTCAGGAAGCTTTGAAGCTTAGAAAATTCTGTGGGTTCACTCTACTCAAACTTCTGAATAACTTCTACAAAGCTGTTTTTTTTCCCCATGTTGCCACGAGGAAGAAAATTAAGTGGGAGAACTCCTGCCTTCTGCAGCAGATGATGGAAGCTTTGGATCCCGCTGTGGTGTCATGGTGAAGAGGTGCCCATGAGCACCAATGGGCACTGGTGGCCCTGGGGATGGCTCTGAGGGTGTGCTGTGAGCCCAGCCCCTCTCTCACTGCAGGAGCTGTTCTTGTGGCACATTCTCTGCCCATACTGGAGCAGGTTTTGGAATCAATCGATTTCCTTTGGCAGCCAAGTTCTAAATTTGTCAGCTGGAAATGCAGGATGAGTTTCACTCTGCTTCCTTTTCTCATTCCTATAAGCAGGTGATTTGACTCTGCTGTCATATCAGTCTGGATTTTGTGTGGTTTTAGGCAAAACTCTTCCTCCTGCAGCAGATGGAATTGTAGTGCAGATGGTGGGAGCACAAACCACTGTGGGAGGCTGAGGACTTCTAAAGCAAAATCCAGTGGGGCGTGTACAGAAAAGGAACTTCTCACCTGGGAAATCCTTTGCCTCCTGTTCTGGGGGTCTCTGCTGTGTTTTTCTAAGGATTGCAGGGACCTGGATGTAGATCCTGGCCTGGGCTGGGTGACACTCCTGGGACAGGAAGGATCTTTCAGAGGTGTTTTGGGAGAGACAAAGCAAGTCGTTATTCCATCTGAATGCTTTCCAATGGGGGATTGTCCTGTTCAGCTGCTGATTAATCATTCTGTTCCATAATTGGCACTACTTGTGTACTGAAGTGTCTCCTCTCTGCTAATGGGAGACAACTGATGGTAACAGACATTGCTTCGGGCCCTGGAAGGAGCTTTTTGAGATTCTGGGAATTCCATATATTGCTTCAAAATGGGCTTTGCTTGCCAAAAGTTTTTGCTGTCATCTACATATTTGAAAGCCCCAACTTTTAAGAATTATTCAGTGAGCATCAGTGGTTCTCGTCTTTGATGGGAGTTGAGGTTCTGACTCTTAAGCAGAAAGGACATGGAATTGTTCTGATTTAAAGACATTTTTATTAAGTTAGAATTACTTACTCTGTAAATTCAGACCTGATGAATTTCCTGCCTCAAATAGCTTATTGAGTGTGGCTTGTCAAATAAGAAGATTACATGCTGGGCTTTAGTTAACAAGATTTTTAGAAATATGAAGCACAAATAGTGAAAAGCTTCAGCGCGTAGCAGTGGCTGCATTGTGTGGGACTCATTAATTCTGAAGGCGTTTCCACTGCAAATCTGTGATTTTTTCATTGGGCTCCCTGGGAGCTGCTGGGCTGCCTCGTGTCTTGTCCCGTGGCTGCTGGGTGACCGTGGGTCCCCAGTGTCCACCCCTGTGAGTGGCCCAGGGCAGTGTCACCACACATGGTGGGTGTGCAGGGGCTCTCCCAGCTGGGATTGAGCATTCCCAGGAGTCTCACTAAGGTCAGACTGCTGAGGAACTGGGAGAAGGGTGTGCAGAGCCACTTACCTTTGGTTTACTCCACCTTGGAATGGCATCACTGGGTTTTCTGAGCCATCCTGCCAGTTCTGTCCTAGCCTGGTGCTTGGGGGTTTTGGCTGAGAGGAGCGGCCACATCATCTGGAGAGGTCGGATCTGTGCACAGCTGGAAGTTCTGCTCTGCAAATGAGTACGTTGGAGAACTACACATTGAGAGAAATTCAATTTATTTTGTACAAGGTAGGATACCTTTGCACAGTGAACAAATATATTACAAATCTGTCTTGCCTTAAAAAAGTATTGCCATTTTGGTGCCTGTTTCCTAAGCTAATGCTGATATACAAGAAGGTACTTTTTTTGTTGGTTTTGCTTTTTTTTTTTTTTTTTTTTTTCTGTTAAGCTCTATGCACATCATTGCATTTGGTTTCAAAATCCTGCTGTGAAAAAAACCAAACCAAACAACTGAGCACATCTCTGCTCTCTGGAGTCCCATTGCATACTACAGCAACACACAGACGTGGGTCAGGCCAGCAGCTCAGGCTGCTTGTGCTGGGTGCCAAGGTGGGTCTTAATGAGAGTATTCCTTATCCAACTGCCTTTCTCTTGGTATTTTTGAGGTAAACCTTTCTATTCATGTATGCAAAATATATTCCTACTGGGCCTACAAAATAATTGTTTCCTTGCATCTCAAATAAGGCTTTCCTGGAAAACAAAACTGCTATTGCTGATCAGCCACGGCCCCCATGCACACATGCAGCATTCGGGAAACCTCGTGGGCAGGATCCTGCTCCGGGAGCCTGGGGGTGTCCTGGGGGTGTCCAGGTTCAGACTGGGGTTCTCCTGACCACCTGGAGAGTCCTGGCTCCAAGGGGAAAAGCTCCTGGGGCAGAATGCCCAGAGCCAGGGGCTGTGACCCCAGGCCTGAGGGCTGAGCCCATCTGTGGGGACATGGCTGGGTCCCACCACGGTGCTCCAGGAGTGTTCCCAGAGCTGGGATCCAGCTGCTGCCCCCGAGCTGGAGGGCTCCTCTTGCAAGTACTGAGCCCTGCAGGTCACTCCTGGCATCGTGCTGTGAGCAAACCCACGGGGCTGGTGTCGTCCTCTTCTGCTTCCATCAGACTGGCGAATGTGCAACAGAATATCTGCTATATTTAAAAGGCAATCAACTTGCTACTTCCACGTTTGCCTAATAAAATTACTTACTTAGAGTCAATACTACTTCATGCTCAAAATTTACAAGGAACTAACGGCAAGTGCTCTACTTTCTAGGTCAATAGAGATTATAAATTAAAAAAAATATCATGGTGGCTCAGTCCAAAATTTTACCATAGGTCAGACCCTTGATAATTACTTCACAAACAGCTGCTGAAAAAGAAAACCCAGTTTCAGCTCCATTTAATGACATTTCAGGTAGAATCATCAATGGATAAAGTTGCACTACATGGTAATGCACATCAGATTGAGGTGTCATCAGTGGCATGCTGACAGTGAATCATGAGGAGATGGTTTGGGAAGATGGGAGAGAGAAGCTGATGTGGCTCAGCTTTGAGAAAGGAAATGAAACCAGGCCTGGTCTGTGCAAACCTGCAGCGTCCCGGGGCAGGAATTGGAGGGGCAGCAGTTTAAACTGCTTGACAGATCTGCTGGATTTAGCTACCAAAACAGAAGCTGCATAAGGAAAATCAAAGCCTACCTGTGCCAATCAACGTTAAAAATGTGGTAAGTGGGTGTGAGACTCATTGTGGAAACTCCATTCATTAGCAAAGATCAGGGGATGTTTGGAAAGATATTAAAAACTGCACAGAAAGTGTCTGTGTTCATCTTCCTCAACTCAAATTCTCTGGTACTGAATATAGAGATGACAATCTCAATGCTAATTACCAAGCATGATCTGCACAGGTTGCACATGGTGATGGCAGTAAATGAGCTTTCCAGACAGTGAAATGACAAGTTTCCCTGCTCTCATTCAGAAAAATGTCCATTCCCTTGACAAAGATGAAAACAAATTCCAGCGTATTCCTAGTCACTGTGTTCCTAACAGTAAAAGGTTTCTTGATGCAGTTGGTAGAAATGTACATCTTGAAGTCCTTCTACTTAGTATGTTTTTGTGGTTTATTTTACAGCAAAGCCAGGGTTAGAACACGCCACAGAGAGTTTTTGCCTGGAGCATGAAGTCACCTTCCTGGAGTGATGTGCTCCAGTGCCACGTGGAGGAGGCTCTCGTTAGTTCCAGGTACCCATACAAAAATGTCTTTATAAATAACATCATGCAGCAGCAGTTGGCCCAAGCTGATGTCGTGTTAAGTCCTTGCCAGTCCACAGGAAAGGAAGGAATGGCTTCTCCTCTGCTCCCTCACAGTCTGTGTTGGCAGCACAGTGCCCAGTGAAGTCCATCCCTCTAGGACTGCTTGTCCCAAGAAGGCCCGTGCGTGGGGCTGTGCCGGACGGGGAGCAGGTCGTAGTGACCGGGAATGTGACTGTTCCTAGGCAGGTCGTAGGGGTTCTGAAGGTAGCTGGCACTCCGACTGCGGCTGTCTTGGACTATGCTGACAGTGGGCTCTGGGGGAGCAAGGAGAACTGGGTTGTGGTGATCAGGAGCAGTCCCAAAACTCCTGATCCTAAAGGCTCCCTTCCAGCTCAGGACATCCACCACTGTGGCTCAGCTCCCCAAACCAGCACACCAACGCCCAGGCCTTCCCCCTGCCAGTTCATCCCTGTGCCACGCCAAGCCCAGATCCTTGTGCCAGGACAGGGGAAAACCAACATCTCCACCAACCCCCCTGCCACCCACTGCTCACCAACTTCGTAGATGTTTTTGTTGGCTGTTGATGAAGTTGGCATTTCGGAATACGGGGACTCCCTGTGACCAGGCGATTTCATTTCCACGTAGCTGCTCTCGGAGTGTTTGCAGGTTAAAATGGGGGGGTCTTTAATGGTGGCGTATGGGTTTTCACTGCTGTTCAGGGAACAAGTGCTGGAGCTGCACACAGATTCTTTCATATAATCTGCAAAACAAGAGCGGAGTGGGTGCGTTAGGATCATTTGCTTAATTAGGTTAATTACAGCTGAGCCTCTGCAGGAAGGCTGGGGGGGGGACAAGGGGGCAGGGGATGAGGAAGATCCTTGAAGCCTCCAGCACAGACACCCGGTGCTTGTGCTCTGGGTGTTCCACACCATTGCATCCACCACTCACTAGCAGGAAAGAAATGAAAACCTGCTCAGTACTGAAGGTTTTCCTGTGAAAGGTCCTAGCTGTCGTTTACAGCAGTATTTAATGTGAGGTGGCAATCCTTCCCTCCCTCCCCCTGTCTCCTCGGGAGCCGTGTTCACCCCGCTCCGCCTGCCCACAGACCCCAGCACGGCTCCGCAGCAGGAGCTGCTGCTGCCCCTGGGCTGCTGAGCCAGCTGCAGGGGAGTCCCGGGGCCTCGGGCACATCCAGTGCCCTGCACTGGAGCACACGGCGCTGCCACAGGCTCAGAACTGCACCAGTGCAGCCTCTGCGTGTGCAGCCCCTGCTGGTTTCGGGGTTAGGCAGCATCCTACAATCGGGGAATGCTTGGGTTTCCACAGAGGGGGACAAGCCTCCATCTCAGCCTCACTTCTGCTCTGCTTTTTTCCCCACTTTGCTGTAGACATCTCCTGCTCCTCTCCCCTGGGCTGGAGAGGAGGTGATGGAGGCACTACTTGGGGAGGAGAAGGTTGGCATGAGAGCTGTGACCACCGGCCTGCCCGGGCAGTGACCCTGGCTGGGACAGACCAGCCTGCTGCAAGGTACAGTGCCAGTCTTGCTTTAAAAATAAAAAACAATAGAGAATAAATAGGTCTTAACATTGACATTCAAGAACGTGCCATTGCTGCTGTGTGCATCCTGCTGGGCAGTGCCAGTAATTTAGAATTAGAGCGATGCAATGAAAGATGAGGCATTTTCTTGTGCTGGGTTACAGTACAAAGGCAGATCCTGGTATATATGAAATACTCCCGGTGAAATAGGGGGACTTGCAAAATAGCTGCAATCCCAGCTGCCCCCGCTGTCTAGTATGGGAGACAAAAAGAGAAATTCAGGTTAAGAAATAGACAGACAACATGACATCACTTCTCCAAACCTCGGCTCTGAGCCTGCCAGCCCCGTCCTGCTCCCTCACGTGCCAGGTCTGCTCCACTGTGAGTGACTGTCCCTCCTTCAGCTCTGGGGTTGTGTCTGTGTCTGTATCTGTGTGTCTGTGTGTCCATCACCCGCAGCCTGGTGCCCCTGGGTACTGGTTTAGCCCTGAGGGAGGTGCCAGAGGTGTTGCCTTTCTGGGCTCTGATTTCAGTGGTACCAGCAAGGCTGGAGAGCCCTCAGCTCCCAGGGTCAGTGAAAGCAGCTCACTGGGAAGCTCCACTGCACACAAAGGGCTGGGACCATCAGGGATGGGGAGGCTGGCAGAGGCCTGGCACCAGTGCAGTGTTTATTTCGTTAGAAAATTTAGAAATTCCTTGTGTGACATCAGCCTGGTGAGACGAGCAGTGCCTTTGCTTCCAAGTGAAACATGCCTGGTTTGGTACAGGACAGGAGATGGGAACCAAAGCAGCACGGACATTCCCTGGCTGTTGGCTGCAGGGTTTGTCCCTCCAGTGTCACCAGCCCCAGCCCAGTACAAGTGAGTGGAAAACTGTCCCATCCCATCCTTCTGCAGAGAGATGGAGCAGCCCTGTGAGACCAAAGGCTTCTGCACATGAGTGAGCTCAGTGTTGGCTTTTGCTGTGTATGTGACTTAAATCCAGGTGCCACAGTCTGGGATCTGTTGGTGTAAGTGGTGAGGAAACCACAGACAGACAAATGAAAGGCTGAGCTCCACCTGCCAGCAGCTTACAGCTCCTGGTGGCTACTCCAGGAACATAGAGCTCGTTAGGAGAACCTGGGCAGCCTCTAATGAGCCAGCTCTGCATTTTGGGGTGAGGGACATGACGATTATCATCAGCTTGCTTCTCCAGTTCAAGCAGTGCTGCTGAGCAGATGCTCACAGGGTGAAAAGCAGGATTCCCTCTGTGCCCCAAGAGCCCCCTGCAAAGTGTTCCCTGTCACACCATGGCTGGGAGGGAACAAATCAAACAAGAGTTTGGTGTAGATTCAGGAAATATTGATTATAAAGGATTGCTGGCTGCTGCAGTAAAGAGCAGAGTGAGAATTCCTCCTCCTGCAGAACTGCAGCTGCAGGTAAATAGCTGTGTGGTTTGTTTATGGAATTGGGCACATCGGAGCTGGCAAAGGCAAAATCCCACCACATCAGCTGTTTTATTTCATCCAGCTCAGCTACTTTTATCTCCCTAAGCTAAAATCCACCTGTACTGCAGTTAGGGCTGGCATTACCTCCCAGGCAGGTGTCCCTTAGCCCTCCCCAGCACCAGCCTTGGGCTGCCCAGACTTGTTTGGCCTCCCCAGGAATTGCCTTTTCCCAGGAGCTATTGAGAAACAATGTGCCCGAGAGCCCATTCCTGCTGACGTAAACGGAGCTCTGCATCTGCCTGGGATCAGACCTTTGCTTTGGACACAATATATTTTATAGAGCACCATAAAATGCTGGATGTTTGGGATTCTGGGTACACCAGGGAGTCATTAGCCCTCCAGAAATGTTATGTGCAAGATCACGGAGGATTTAACTCTGAAGGCTGTAGAAGCAGCTGAGTTACTTTGTTATTAAGGTAATTTGAGGATAATTAAGAAGTCTGGTATCAATTGTCAAATTTTGTTTCATGAATTAATTTAAGCAGAACAACCATATTTAGAGATTCTCAGCCCATGGTGCTGCAGGCCATGTGTGAGCCCTGGCTGTGCTGTCTCCTCATCCCTCCCTGCCACAGGGTGCAGCTCTCATGGAGGTGAAAGCTCTGCCCCACAGTGCTGGGACTCACTGGAAGCACTCAATCAACTGGACTTCCAGAGAAATATTGGGAATATGCTCTAATTTTGAAATCCCTGCCTTCTGTGTTGCCTGGATACCAATCACCAGACCTTTGGAGGGTTTATTTTTGTTAGCAGGGACTGGAAACGCCCCTCCCTCAGACTGGGTTCCTCTCTTCTGTCCTGAATTTCCCCTGGCATGCTGCAGAGAAGGCTTGGATCCCCCAGCCGAGGTGGAAGTGCTGAGGAGAGGTGCTGTGCAGTGGTAGAAGGTGCTCTCCTGCTCTTTAACCCTTGCTGGGATGCAGTGCCTGTGCTGCTGCAGGGACAGTGACACAGGGAGGGCCCATTGCTGCCTCTCAGGAGTGGGGACACATCCTGTACAACAACCAGGGGAACCTCTCAGAGCCCAGCCCTGCATCCCTGGGATCAGTGCTTCTCTCTGCTGGGGTTTTCCTGGCTCTTCTGCAAAGCAATAGGTGTTTTTCCTTAAAATGGTCGTGCCTGAGGTCACACCATTCCATCAGCACAGCACTATTCATTTAAAAACCAAACCTCTAAAAACAGAAGAATTCAGCTGCAAGGAAAAGCTCAGGAATAGCATCACTGAGCACCATGCACAGGAAAGAAGCTGCTCAGAAACCTGCTCTGAAAACCCTTGTGCCTGGTGAGCCCCTGTCAGCCGGTGCCACAGGGTTCAGGGCTGGCACTGTGACAGCCAGCCCCTCTCTGCTGCTCTGACACTGGCCCTGGCACCTGGCAGATCTCTGTGCCCAGCCCTGGAGCTCCACAGCAGCTCAGCCACCACAGCCCTGGTGCCAGGCTGCACAGGGACACCCCTCTACTGGTGCCCTGCTCTGGGCACAGCCCCCAGCTCTGGTCTCCTCAGAGAGCTGGGGGAGCAGGAGGTGGCCCAGGGTTTCCACAGGCCCCTGTGCCCCCTCCCTGCAAGGCTCTGTCTGGTCCAGGGGCACCAGAGACCACTTCCAATGCAGGACAGGCTGTCCCCAGTTAGACCACACTGGTGGGAAAAGACATGGTTTTAAATTGGATGAAAGCAGCTAAAAACCAGGCACCTGCCTGCCAAGTCTTTTTGCTGACAGAATCCAATTGTTTGGGACTGGGAGTTTTTTCCTCTCCATTTTCTGAGGAATGTGGTGAGCCAGGGCCTGGCAGTGCTCAGCTCACTCTGAGCACTGGGCGCATTCCCAGCTCCTCCTGGGAGGAGACTCCCCTGGGACTGGGGGTGCCTTGGAGCCCTGGGGCTGTCTGAGCCCAGGAATTGACCTCCAGAGGGGCTTTGGGAACCTTCAGCCAGCCAAAGGCAGCTGCTCCTGAGAGCCCTCAGCTCCTAAGTGCCTGCAGCTGAGCTCCCAAACATACCTGGTGTGCCCCTGTGTCCCTGCCAGTGCCAGCCCTGCCTGTCTGAGGCAGCTGAGCAGCCCCAAACATTTCCAGCTGTGGCTTCTGAGCCTGATTTTTCAACTTATAAAGAGATAAACATGTAAAGGAAATAGTTCAGATCCTAAAAATTAAAATATGGAACAGCTGAAAATGTATTTCACAGTTCTCTGTCACTGTATTCTTTTTCTGTGCCCCACTGATCCCCCTCTGTGTGACTGTGCCCGTGGGTGGGAGTTCTGCTGCATGTGCTTAAGGTGCCTTTCAACTTTGTAAACACAGTAAGTATGTTTGAACTAATGAAGTTAGTAGCTCCATGTAAAGGGAACAACTAACTCTATTATAATAAGATTTTTCTTTTGAAAAAGGGAATCACTGAAGTAGCTGAAACCAGTGGATTGAGTATTTTGCATATCATAAATTATATATATCATATACATACATAATCTAGTCCATATTTTTACTTTAGCTTTATCAACAAAGACTTGGTTGTTGGTTCTTGGTTTCTTTTGGTGATTCTGTGTGGTAAGGTGATGTTCTAGCAAATATTGCATCCCTGTCTTTTGAAAACAGGGATGCTGTTTTCAAAAGTGAATGTTGATCTTTAGGCCTGGCTATAAGCTGGTTAATGCTTTTTATGTGGAACAGCTTTTGATATTCCTTGTTAGCTGAGCCCAAGGTGTGGCTCTGGACCCTGAGCCATGGCAGAGAGGGGGTCTGGCAGCAGCCCCAGGGCACTGCAGGAAGAGGCTGTTTCCCTCCTGGGCTCGATGAGGGACATTCCCAGGCATAATTCAGATCCAGGACCTCGGTCTGAAAGCTGCCTATTCCCAGGAGACAGATTCCTTGCTCCATCTTCTGGAGCACAAGCTCAGTGTGCTGAACCCCAGCTGGTCTGCCAGGAGCTGTGGGAACCACTGCGTTCCCGTGGTCCAGACAGGGCTGGAATATTGAGAATGTAAACGTGGAGGAAAAGTGAAATGTAAAACCACTGGGCCCTGTGCTCGTGACTCATCTGAGCTCCTGTTTTAGACCTGCCCTGGAGTCAGTGCCCACAAGTGGTGCCAGCGTGAGGGAACCTCAGCCTCAGGGAGGGCTCTTCTCCAGCTCTGCTCTAAATCCCCCTCAGCAGAGGGCACGAGCAGGGGCAGCTCCTGTCCTTGGGGTTTCCTTTAGCTCAGCGTGGCCAGGAGCCAAGAGCAGGGAAGTGCAGCCCTGTGCCACCAGCAGCTCCCCCAGAGCCCGTGGGGCCGGTGGCTCCTACCCGAGTGTGCCCTGGCCAGCTCCTCCTGCCCCTCCTGCCCTGAGCTGAGCCCTCCCTTTCTCCCTGTGCTGCAGAGCCCGTGGCCCTGGGAAGCTTTGCATCCATCATTCATGGCCCAGGAGTGCTGGGAGCCAGGCAGGCAGCTCGTGGGGGTGGTGGCTCTGTCCCTCCCTGCCTGGGCTCCTATCTCACCTCTTCTAGGACACCCTCCTCACACCTGGGCAGGGTTCTGCAGCTCTGGATACCATACCTTTGAAGCTTTTTTCCATTATGTATGTGTTCTGACGTCTATCCATCCCACAAGCACCTGCATAAAAATGATATATAATGGAAAACAAATAAATATTTATGTAAATTGGATTGCTTTGACTGCTGAGCAGCATATATTCTTCCCTCTAAATTGTACATCAAGGCCCTCATTTAGGGAGGCTCTTAAGCACATTCTCAGCTGTAACCACACACTCAGCTCTAGTGGGGAGTCTGTGCACGCCTGGAATTATGCATGTGCTTAAGAGTTTCCCTGGAAGGGAGAGCCCTCTGCAGCAGGGTTACCAAGAACTGCCATCCATCAGGAGATCAGGATAAAAACCATCTGCTGAGACATTCATTACTGGAATGGTGTGAAAGAAGCCTAAAACGTGCCCTTTCAAATCCGAGTCTGCAGGTTGCGTTGCAGCACTCTGTGACTAATTTTAGGCTTTGTTTTGTTTGTGGAGAGTGTATTATTTAACTCACAGCCTTACACTCTAATGTGTGCACAGTCTCCTTAAATTACCTACTATCACTCTGCTCGTGAATTTGCCCAGTTCAGTGACTGGTGTGACAAGTGACCCTAAGGTCCCTAAGTGACCTCTGTGCTCTGACAGCGCAGCACAGGGAGCAGAGCTGACAGCCAACAATTCTGCCTTTGCAGCTCCAGAGGAACTTGCTGTTCCTCACAGAAGCTGAGACAGAAGGGGATGGGGACCTTTTCCATTTTTACTGCTGCAAATTACCCTAGATATCAATCAAAAAGAAAATCTAATATAGGCCTTTAAATCTTTTTAGCTATAGAGTCTGGTATTTCCTATTGACTGGGACAATCAATACAGATTTGGTTACTGAGGAATGTCCTTGTGGCTTATGGGATTCCCAGTCAAGTAACTGAGTGAGACTGGGAAAAGAGCCCCACAAACAGTGTCTCCCAGAGGTCTCCCAGCTATTTGTCCTTGTGTGTCCTCTGGTCTCTGCAGAAAAGTTGTCCTGGCTAGAGGCAATGCTGTACCAGCCCCTTTTTCATGACAGCTTCATTTTTTTTTTTTGCTCAATAAGGGAAATGACTAATTTAGACAATAAATATGTTACTGGCACATCAAAGACAAACCAACCCTTTGCTCTGGTTCTCAGTGCCCGTCCCTGAGCACAGGAAAGGGGCTGGTGGCACTGCCTGGCTCTCTGGGATGGGGCTCTTCTGGCCACGAGTGACTCCCCAGTCCATTCCAGCACCTTCTGCTTTGTTCTGCACCACGAGCCAGTTCCCAGACTCACCCTGCTGCACAGGGCAGGGCAGACTGGCAGCTTTGGGCAGCTCTGTCCCAGCAGGATGAGCTCTGTGCCCTTTCCCCGCTGTGCTCTGCTTGGGCAGAGTCAGAGTGAGGAGGATGGAGCCAACTGATCCCTTGGCCTACAGCCCCAGGGCTGGGGCTCCCCCAGGCCAGCCCTGGGGGTCACACGTCCTCCTCCTGCCAGGGATGAGCACATCTCCAAGGGCAGCAGAGTCCAAGCAGCATCTGGGGCTCACCCCATGGAGCGAGGCTGGGGGGAGCAGCTCCAGCTGAGGCCCCCAGGGGCAGGGGCTGCACCCATGGAGAGGCAGAGGCAGGGAACAAAGGGACCCAGGCTGACCCGTGGGGAGGGCCACACAACCCCACAAAGCTTCCCAACCAAAAATTCCCATAATTCCTCCTTTAGTTTTCTCTTTTATCTGTTATAATAGTGTGGGTTTATGACCCATTTTTTTGTATTCACCGAGTTCCTTAGGAGGTGAAATGAATACTAGATACATTATTTTTTTAAACTGCAAAAGTAGTTAATGTGGAAAAGTCCTAAACCTGCCAGAGATCCGTCACTTCAGGAAAGTCCAGGTTTAAGTTTGAAGCTAAATTATCTGCTGGGGTGAAATTAGACTCTCAGCTGGAAATAGTTTTCCACACCTTTTGGCTTTTGAGAAAAAAAGTGAAGTCAGCTGTGAATCAAACTTATAGCCTTTGGTCTCTGGAATAAATGCAGCTTTGAGTCACTCATGATGTGCTGCAAATCCCACTTTAGTGTCTGCATCCAGGACTGCTGTTAAAAAAGCATCACAGATAAACCCAGCCCTGCCTGCATCCGCTGTGGCCAGTTCCAGACAATGAGACAAGAACCTCTCCTGAGCTCAGCTCAGTGGTTTGGGAGTTTTCACCTGCTTGGGATGGGAGCTGGAGGCTGGGCTCTGCCCCTGCCCCGTGCAGACTGCACTAGAGCAAGAGGGATTTCTCACAGGGCAAACCATTCCAGTTCTGCAACACGAGAGAGAGAAAAGGCAAGGACAAGCCATTCCCTGAAACGAGGACCAGGCTGCCTTGGGCAGGCAGTGACACACAGGAAGGTGACAAAGCCACCTCTTCTTGTCACCAGAGACTTCCCAAACTATGATATCTCAAGTCCACATCCATGGGAATTACTTGTGCTCCTCCCCAGACTCCACCGAGCACAATCAGCTCTCTGAAAACCTGGAATTTGAAGCTCATAAACAAATATGCAGCAGTAAAAGTACAGCCTTTGTCCTTGCATTTCCCACTTGGAAAGAACACGAACCTGGCAAACAAAGTCCTACAAAACAAGCAGAACACCTGCAGTCTGGTGAGATCCACTGCAATTAAGAAAATCCTTATCAGTGCAGGTTTTAGGAGATGAGTGTTCAAGTTAATTTTGGTGTGGATATTCTTACAATTTCCTTTCCCCAGCTCTAATCCATGTTTAGGACACCTGCAGTTTCTAACAGGGCTGTAGACATTTCTGGGAGCCTGGCTCTCCTCATCTGCTGGGTCCCATCCTTTGGGATCACCAGAGAAGTCACTGACTGAAGAACCAGGAGTGACTTTCCATCCATTCCAAATTCCTCTTCCATTTCTCTTCTATTTCCCTCTCCTTGGCTCACTCCCACATCTGCTCTCTGTGACAATTCATGGGGTCACAGCAGAGGAGTTGGGCAGTTGTCCACTGCTATTTTTAACTTTTTAACTGAGTCCAGCCCTGCCCAAGGCTTGGCTGCTCTTCCAACACAAGAGTTGGAGCATCTGTGTTAGGAAACTAAGGCTGATCATGGCATCAGAAGGTTGAACACGTTTTTAACTGTGGTACTTCCTTGCTTGATGATGTTTGAAAGTCAAGATTCCCTGTGTGACCTTACTAGACTTTAATGTTATATTTATAATTCAAACTCGAAGATTTAAACTCTCTTTGGAAATTTTCATTAGAGGAACCTGCAGCTTTTATTGCACAACAGTAAAAGAAGTGAAAACTTTATTTGCATGTAAAAACAGCCTTGATCTCAGCAAGGATACAACATTGTGGAAGTTAGCATGAGCAGGCATTAAATCTGGTCCTGAGAAGAAAGGGGGAAAAAAAATCTAATTTTCATTAATTAGTTTGAAAAAAGAAAGAAAAAGGTATCTTGGATGCAAAATGCTATGGGAAAAAACTGAGTGTTTTGCTGGAGGCTCCTTAGCTAAAGTATTTATCACTTCTAGATCATTCTTGCTGCAGAAGCATTTAGCATCGTTTCTGCTGGTAAAATAAAATGCATCAATGCAGGACAGAGGTGGCACATGGGGAGCTCAGGACAGCACAAGTTAAACACAAAGCAAATAGTGTGCAAAAAAAGCAGCAAAATGGTAAAATTAATGTGGTTTGAGAAGCATTTGCAAACCCTCACACACAGCCACCTCCATGTCACATACAGATAAGCACAAGAGTGGTTCTGCAGCTTATTACACAGAAAACATGGATGGTGTTAAGGATGAAAAGATCTTGCACTGAAGCTTGACAGATTTGTGATTTTCCTGATGCAGGGAAGAGTTATCTTTGGAGTGAGGCACGGCGTGGCAGGGGCAGGATGTGATGCCTGGTGCTGCCCTATGTTCATTCCTTTGCCATGTGAGCTGTGAGATAGTTGACCTTAAAAATCCCATAATACCCCCTAATGCTGCACTTTCCCTCCTTCTGCATATTTTCAGCGAGATGTCACTAATCCCAGGAAAGGAAAGGGCAAAAGCTTTGGGCCACTGATGAGCCAAACTCCGAGTGCTCAGATAGGAAAACAAATAGCATCCAAAGCACTAAATCTGGGCAGGATTTGAGCTAAGAGCTGCTAAAAACCCTGTTAAAACTCAAGCCAGGAAGAATAAACTCAGAACAGGCAATTACACTTCACTCTTGGCTTGGTTGCACTGGCTGGTGGTTCAGAATTGCCACGGAATGATTTACTGGGAGATAATGGAGCATTGCACACCCAAGCTCCCACAGAGGCTCCACACCTTCATCAAGATGCCAGTATTTAGTGCTAAGCTTTATTAAGCATGAAAAAAAAAAAAAAAAGCCAAATTTGAATTTTTAATGTCCTGAGTTAGTCCTTAAAAAAACATTTATAGAGTAGATGATAGTGATTCAACAGAGCAACCTTGGAAGGGAGACTTAAATGAATATTGACTTTGCTTTCCCAGTCTGTGGTTTGTGGTAAAGGAAACAGTTTTTAATTCTCCATCTTTCACTACTGGCAATTCTGATTGTGAACTAAAGACAACACCAATATTTCTCATTATTGTTTATGCCTTTATGAAAGGCTGATTTGGATTTGGAATTGCTCTAAAGTCTACTAAAGTGATTAAAGTGTTTAAAAATTACTGACCTAGTTCATTCAGATAGCTGTAGGGTCTCCAGTCTGCAGTTTCTCTGTCAAGGATTTTGTAACTGAGCTGTTCAAAAAGTATGATAATGGGTTAATGCTGGAAGAGACAGACAGTTCCCACCCCAGACTACAGCCCAAGGATGTCAGGAGTAAAAATGGGAGGTGACTCCTGCCTCAGCCTCACCACCTCAGCCCTTGATGTGTGTGAGCTGCACAGCTGTTCACTGGCATTAGGGAAAATCACAAAGGAAAGTCACTTCACCAAGCCATGAACACAAACATGCTGGAGAACACAGGATTTCCTTTGGAACCACGACTGGGATGCCTGTGGACAGGGGGTGACACGCTCCAAAATGACCCAGAGAGATGGATGGCTCAGAGCCCTACAGCAGCATGCACAGAGGGGCTGCCTGGAGCCCGGGGCTCTGCTGGCACAGCACTGACAGGAGGTGCAGGGACACGAGTTCTCTCAGTTCAAGGAAAATCTCTTTGGCAATGATGGAGCACAAAGGCCCCTGTGGATCTGCCAGCAGAGGAGAGTCCAGGGCTGCCCTGCAGGTGCTGCTGGGACAGAGCAGAAGGGGCTCCACAGATCAGTGGTCACCAGCTGAGCCCTGCAGGGGGGTCTGGGAATTGCTGTAGGTGCAAAAACTGCTGAGTTTTCCTCCTCACATTATTCTCTTGAGAGCCACACCTGCTGGAATACAGCTGGTCCAGAGGAAGTGTCAATTCAAGAGCAAATCCCAGCCTTGTTTCTGAAAAGATACAAAGCCATCACTGCCCTCCTGTGTCTGCTTCCAGACTGGGAAGCCTCCTGCTGTGTTTGGAAGCATTCAGCTCTGCCATTTTACTGTATTTACAGGAAAATGCTAAACAGAAAGGAAGTTAAAATTGAAAGAGAGTATTCACAATTACCACAACATTTAATTTTTCCTGATCTATCATTCCTTTTTGCTTAGCTGTCTTAATAGGTTTTTAGACCTGGAACAAAACCCCCCACTGATGTATTGAAGCTTATTGGGATATTAAATCCCAGCTGGGGCCCAGCACCTGCAGCCACATTCCAAAGGCATTTTCACCCCTCCAGAGTCCTTTCCAACAGCCCTCAGTGCTGCTGCCACCCCATCCTGGGTACAGCATCCCTGTGTTGTCCCTGTGCCCTCAGTGCTCCTGCTGTCCCCGACACTGAGGAAGCTCTGCAGGAAGCCTGGAGAGCCCAGGAAGCATTTCTTGATCATCCAGCAGCTCCCTGTGCTTCCCCAAACTAGGGATGGGACCAGAGACAGCAGAGGCAGGGATGGATGGATGGATGGATGGATGGATGATGGATGGATGGATGGATGGATGGATGATGGATGGATGGATGGATGGGGCACTTGGACAGCCCAGCAGTGGCAGGGGCATGAAGAGCAGATCCATTTGGAATATGGTCACTGGGAGGAATTCGACCCTTGGCACCATCAGTTCTCCTCAGCAGAGCCCACAGCTTTGTTCTTCTCTTCAAAACTTGCAGCCAGAACACAAATGCTGATTTTTCAACCCAGCTGCACCACTTAGAGCACATTTATTAAAGTCTTGGGGTTTCTATTAAAAGCTGTGGGTTTGCAGGATTTATAAATCAGCTCACAAACCTAAAATTTGGCATGAAGAGCTACGGGCTAGAATTGATTTTTTAAAATGAAATGATTTGGGGACATTTCTAAGTTTTACTGAATGCAGTTTTTCTGAATGTGATTATAGCTGTCTCTTTGTGCTACTATCATTTCTTAGCACACTATAATTTGTTAACTTTTCTTCTTTTTTAAGATAGAAAATATTTCAATTTTTACTGTGAGGCAAAATTGCTTTTCTGGAGGAAGAAATCCTTCATAGTAAATTTATCCATTAAAATTCCAGGCTGGTAATTTTAGCAATTTGGTTAAAACTACCTCATATCTGGCACCTTTTCTTTTAAGATCAACGAGATACCAGCCTGAGTAAACAAAGTCATTATCTGCCTGTCTGAACTAGCTGGATAAATGACAGTGGCCACTTGATCACCACCAGCCATTTGTCAATGCCCAGGTTTTTAAGTCCACGGTGATTAGGCAAAGAAGTGCTGGCAGGAATTCCATCATACCTTTATCCTCCAGGAGAGCAATCAATAATTTGACATTTATTTCCCTAACTACTGACTTCAGGTCTCCCTGGTCCAAGCTTGTGCTGCTCAGTTTTAGATGCCCATCCTGAATGTGCTGCAGCCATTCTGTATTTGCAGTCCTCCTTTTTCTTGGGCAAGTTTTAGTCAAAGGTACTTAAATGCTGCTTTCTGTACTGAATTCCTTTTTATTAGCTGGGTGACATCCAGTCAGACCATTTCCAGTGACCTCTGTTTTGCATTTTCTAATTTTATGTGAAGTCTTTGGTGGAATTTAGGACTTCCTTTAATAGATGTGAAACTGCTGGCTTTAAAAAATCAGGACATCTAATAGCAATTGATTTTTATGATGTCTGTAGAAACCAACACCTGGGTTTTTGCTGCTGGAAGGGAATGAGGATGGAATTATGAGCTTTGCAAAAGCTCAAGGTGAGAATTCTCCATTTGCTTGTGACCAGTGCAGCAGCTTCATCCTTTACACAGAGGATTCTTCACAAACTTTGCAGCACTTGATAAAAGTAAGGTTTGTTTTTACTTCATGCACAATGCAAAAACTCAGATGCAAAGCTGGCCTTGAAGCCCTGAGAGGGGTTCTGTGAGTGGTCCTGCCAAACACCCTCTGAGCAAAACAGGTCCTCAGCAGCTCTGAAATCTGAAATCTCTGAAATCTGCTCTGTGGCTCAGCAATGAGAGCTCTGATGTGAAGACACAGGTATGGAGGTACGTAATCTCCATTTATCTGCTTCAGAAATTTTTGCTAATTCTGTGGCAAAAGGTCACCTGAGTTCATGTCTGATACTCCTCAGCAACTTGCAGCATCCTTACTAGTTGGTGTTGCACATATCATGAGAAAAAAGGCCAAACCTATTGTAGGAGCTCATAAACAAAGGTCAAGGTTTGGCTTCAGTTAAACTCACAGTAAAACATGTCTTGGCTCCAATGGTTCCAGCACTTCTCCCGAGCTGACTTGCCAAGCTCTCTCCTGTGGGAAGAGCAATTACTTGTGGCAAAGTGCTGGGAGTTAAAAGCCTGCACTGAGATGCTGGAGCCTCCTCCTGAACCTCAGAGCTGCAGATCCATTCTCAGAGTCCTTGCACAGAGATGAAGCTCAGCCCTACAAGCTCCTGCTGGCACCTGGCACAGGCTTGGGGACAGGACTGGAAGGGCTTGGATCCCCCAGTCCCTGTGTCCAGCTGCCTTTTACTGCAAACACCCAGGCACACAATCCCTCAGAGAGCTGATCAAGCTCCATTTTAACAGTAATCAGATTTCTTTGTCCCATTAGTCTTCCTGGGAAACTATTCCAAAATCTCACTGATCTGATGGTAGAAATCTAATTTCCAGCTTCGATGCATTCATGGCCAGTTCTTCTTCATTTGTTCTCAAGCCAGCTCTGTCATCTCACTTAAATAGCTCTCCTCCCTCCTCGTGTTTACCTTGCTGTATTTATAGATGGCAATCATGCTCCCCCTCAGCATTCATTCTGCCAGATAAAAGCAGCTAAGCCTTCTTTCAGTCTCTTCTGATAGGCTCCCGCTTGTTTTCCTCCTGCCTGTGTTCCACTGGCACAGCCCCAGCCCCAAACACACTGGGGAGGGTTTGGTGCCTCCACTGGTGCTTGTCTCTCACAGCTCCAGTGGTTCACCCTCAGGACCTGAGCAGTGGCCAAGTGTGTGTGTGGCAGAGGGGGCATGAGGAGGTGAGATCCTTCCCCCTGCTGAAGCCTGGCCCTGCTCCCATCCCGTGCAGACAGAGCCATGTCACAAACTGTCCCCAGTGCAGAGCTGGGCCCTTTAGCTCCTGCTAAAGCCTCACCCACCTCCTTCCCTCCAGAGGTGCCACCCTAGGAGCTGCAGCAGGGTCAGCACACAGTGCTGGGAGCCCCCAGGCAGGGATCCTGGGGATGGGAGAGGAGGAACAAATTTGGAATTATAGGTGTAGAGTTGGGGGAGAAAAGTGAACAGGAATAGGGACATGAGAAATAAAAAAGAGAATAGAGCGGAGAGATCACCAAGAAAAGAGGGGAGAAAATGCAAAAGACACAGAAAGAAAGGAGAGAAGGGCAGGGAAGCAGAGGAGAGAAAACTCTCCTCAAACTGGAGCAGGGCTCCCAGCTGTCCTGCCTCTGTGCTTTGCCCAGGCTCAGAGAGAGGAGTGGCTCCAGCCCAGCACCTCCAGGCCTGATCTCCTTGGAGCACAGGGAGGTAACACATCCCGGGTCTGGCTCAGCACTTCAGACATTCTGACATTCCTCTGCCTTTTTTTCTTTTTTTTTTTTTCCCCATTTTGCATCTGTGCTGGTTCCTTTGTGACCCCAGCTGGCACTCTAAAGAAATGAATCCTCCAAGTACAACTTGTGCACATTTCTCTGCAGAAAGTGAGAATGGCACCAGGCAAGCTGATTTGGAAATGAACTCGTTAAGGCAGCTATTAGAGCTTTATATGCTCCTTTGTCTTACTTGGCTGCAGAGCTGCAGACAGACAAAGTGTATTTTTGGCCATCCTCATCTATTCAGTACTGCAAAGCATTCTCATTAATAAGTGAGATGGTGGGAGATCTAAAGGAAATATCAGGCCATATATTTTGATAAATACCCTGAAAATACCAGTTCTATTGGTCTTTCAGTACTTATCAGGACAACCTGGCTACAATAGCCAGAGCTGCAGCGGGGGAGCAGCTTCCAGGAAAGTCCCAAAGCACCACTTGGGGATTAAACCTTTCCAGCAGCTTAATTTTTGAAGTAGTTCTGTGAGAAGATGGCACTGCAGGCTGGGAATCCAGGATAGGTGCTGGCTTTGACCTTTTCTGAATTAATTTAAATTTCTGCAAAAGGATTAGTGGTCCAGATGGACACTCATCCTAAATTTGACATTATGGGCGTTTGCACTTTCAATTTGGGGAGCAAAAATTCATGATGCAAGGGGACCATCTACATCAAAAACCATATTTACACATCTATCTAAACATTTCTCTGAGAAATCTCTGGAGCCAGCCTTTTTATTACATTTTAATGAGATTTTCTTTTAACAACTAAGAAATTACTTACAGGAGCACATGTAGAGATATTTTTGCCTGTCCTGTACAATACTGTCTTTTTTGCACTGATCTTGTTCATATGGCATTCCAGTTACATTTGGATTAAGGTGACACAGCCTGAAACATCATCATTTTTAAAGCTGACAACCCTGATGAAATCAACTGCATTTCCTTTTCCCCTGCTCCCTCTGCTTTGCCACACCTGGGCTTATTAAGGCTCCAAAGGAGGAGCTGTTTTACCATTTGCCATATCTAAATTTACTGCTAAAGTGCTGAATTGAGTCACAGTGTTGTTCATGAATGGTCTGAAGGAATCAATTGCAACAAATGATAAGGAAGGTGCTCCTGGATGTTGCAGTGATAGGGCTGGAATAGCTCTGCTGGAGAGCCAGGAGTGAAGCAGAGCTCCCAAAATGTCCCTGGATGAGTCAGGACAGTCCTCAAAAGCAGCCCAGGTACCTTCTTGCATCTTTGTGCTTGTCTGTGTCAGCAGGGAATTTGTTTGTCTGATGTGGGAAACAATGAAACAGCAAAGAGAGATTAATGATTAATGCTTCATTGATTTACTGGTGTTGTGTTAGTGGATAATTATATTTACTGAGTTATTTATCTCTTCTGAGAAGCAAATACCTCAGAGTTGCCAAGACACCAAGCCTTGCTGACCCAGACAGGCATGAGACTGCAGTTCCCATTCCCAGAGACTGGGAAGATACAGGGAGGGGAAATCCAACCTTTCAGTGCTGGGACATCAGGAATGCTACCCTGGAGTTTGAAATAGTGCTGGCAGCCAACAGGGCCCGAGAGACATTGCTTGGGTTGATTTCCTTGAACTGACAAGAACATTGCTACAGTGGGGTGGGGTAATATCTACCTTACAGGAGCTGTTTCCATCCAGATTACTGGGAAAGAAGCGTGAAGTCACCCCACACGAGAGAGTGTGGTAGCTTGGATTGGAAAAACAATGAACACTGCTGCTACCCTGGGATATATCTGGGAAGAAAACAAGTCATCACAAAATACTTTGGAAGCCACAACAGTTCTTCAGAAACTGAAAACACAGCAGAGACAATGTAGTTTAGAAATCTTTGTTGGAGTACTGGGTGTTCTAAAACATCTGCAGATGCAATCTATCCTGCATTATGGTGTGAAGCTCTTGACTATTAGCATTAAATATAAGAGGAAAAAAAGCAAAATATTTTAAAAATACAGTGTTATCTTCTTGAAGGTGTTAATAACGTCATTCCTGACAGTCCAGCTGCTTTGCAGGTGAGGGGAGGGAGGCAAAACTCGGGAGATGCATGGGCTGCAACACAGCTGCCTCCTTAGCCTAGCCCATGGAAGAGCCCCTGAGCATCTTGCAGTTGAAACAAATGAAATCTTTTTATTACAAAACCAGGAGTAATGTTAGAAATCAAGGTGCTGTAACTGTACCAAGGAGTACAAAACGTTTTCCATTGTGTGCAAAGGCTTTTCAAAAACCAAAGCTGGAGCCCTGAAAGGCAAACCTGGGCATTTACATTGTATGCTCAGAGACATTTTATCTACTTCCTCAATTTAAGTTATAAACACATTTACCAAACAGAATAATTTACCAAGAAAGGCATCATATTTAATCTGGCAGTTCTAATGAAAGCATCAATCCCAATCTGGTTCCAGCTGTGTAACAAATGGATACACATTTCAAAGTACCATCAGGAGAAGGGATGGAAAATTTCAACTGGAGCAGCATCATTTAAACACCAAGGCCCTGTAAGGAGCAAATGAATGGGCTTTGCTAAAGCATGGGCTCAAACTGCAGGCAGAGAGGTTGGTTGTGGGGAACACCTTCATGTCAAAGGGTAATGAAGTGCTGGGGTGGCTGCTTGAGCCCATCACCTTTACTGAAGTCTGGCAGCGATGGGTGAGAAAGGACAGGGACTTGGGGTCCCCAGCCACCATCACCTCCTCTCCTTGCCCTCTGCATTTGCCTCACTCTAAACATGCACTTTGCTTTGCTGACATCTTGTGGAGATCTAGATTGAGCCTAATTTACTGCAGAATATCCTGTTTCCAAGAAGTGGGTTTATCTGCAGGTGTCTCTTACATAAGGGCTGTGGCTCAGGGCTCAGGGGAAGCTGCTCCTGCATGTGCAGCTCTGACCAAGCACTGCTTGTCTGCTGAAACATGCAAAGAGATTTTCGAGGTCAGCTCTATTTTGTGGTAAGTGCAGAGCCTTTGAATCCCAGCTGTTTTCCAGAGTTGCTGCTAACAAATGATCTCAGATCAGGATGTGATTCCAGAGCTGAATTCTTTGCATTGAATATCTGTCAGCCAGGCTGCCAGGGCTCTGCCATCTCCCCCTGCTACAACTCTGTGACATTTACAATCAAACCAACAGGAAGCACATCTCTCTTGGGGTCTGACAGTGGGAACTGGGGCTGGAACCCACCCCTCATGTCAGTGTGTGCCCCCAGCATTACAGCCTTCAGCCTGCTTTGGGGGCTTGGGCCCATCCTCCCTCCCCACAGCCCACAGTCCCAGTTAAACAGGACACTGGGATCTGTGTCTTTCTGCTCTGAAAGTGTTGGTGGAGTCAGCTCTGCCCTCTCCCTTCCCTTCCCCACTGGCTGTGAGCCAGGACCCTGTGGCTCTGCTGTGGGGTTTGAGGTGCCACCGATGTCACCGGGAGCCACCTGAGACAAGGCGAGTTCTCCCCCAGCTCAGCTGGCTGGAGCTTGTTCTCTGCACCCAAAATCAACTGAAATAAAACTCTACCAGAGTGCTCCACTACTTAGCACAGTGTTGAATTAATGACCTTAGCTTGTACACATCCCCCAAAATCCTTTTCTTCCCCCCGTTGCACACAGCACCCTGAACTCAGAATTACTCCTTCTACACAGTTCCCTCTGGTCGATACCTAAGTAGCCACCCAGGCTGATTTACCTTGATAGCACAGTCCATTTTCTACACATTTATTCATGAAGCTCTTGTAACTGCTGGCTGGAAATACATCAAATTCAAATCTAATGCTATCCCTGTTTAAAAAAAAAAACAACAACAAAAAACCACCAACCCACAAAAAATTTCTCTCTTCCCGAAGGTGAGAATTTTATTCTGGTCTAAACAGTAAGGAAAGAATTAAATGCCTAAAGAAAAGGGAATTAGACTGAGCTCCTGCTCTGAGCCTGGGCTGTGGGGTGCCACAGAGCATCAGTCCCAATCCTGCAGGACAGTATTGAGGAAACTGGGCACCAGCCCAGCCACAAAAAAGGGAATAAGTGAGCACTCTGCAGTAAATACAGAGCCAGACTTCTCAACTGCTAAATGGAGCTGCTTCCTTCTCTTTGTGTGGGTCTTCTCTGCCCACACGGTGTCAGTGAGATGGCTGAAGGCTCCAAACAGGAGGGTTCACTCTGCCACCTCCCACCACCCATCATCTGCAGATCATTTCTGGAAGTGTCTTGTCTAGGCTTCAGGATCCACAATGCTTTATTTGTGTCAAGCTTTGCTTAGTTCTTGGCTCTCAGCAAAGGATTCACCCATACCAGAAAGTTTGCTAAGACCTTGATAAGACCTCAAACATCACTTCAGCCCATAGCCAAGTTTTTGTGAAAGTCCCACTAAGAAATCCCTGCTGCTCTCCACACTACCACACAGTTTTCCATTCTGGTCCCATCTCCTTGAACTAAACAACGTGCACTTTTAAAATCTTTTTTGGATGTAATGCACTGCTCTCAGGCTGAGGAGCACCATTTTGATTTCAGGAAAGTTTGCTCTTGGATCTATGTGCTGTGGCTAAGTCCTCCCAGCACGGGTGGTTTTCTTCTCCCCTGGCTGCTGGGCAAAGTGTGTGTTTTGCTGCCACATCCTTCATCCACAAATGCAAAAGAGTCCAAGGGCTGCCCAGGGGGCTCCCTTTCCTCATAATCTCTCTCACACATACGCATGGATTATCAGTCTCACAGGAGCTGAGGATGTAAATACCAAAAACCTCCTCCAGAAATAAATGTGCTGGAGGAAATTGCTGCCTCCAGGAGCTAGGGATCTGTGTATGTGACTCTATTCAGAAACAACACCACCATTACCCAAATAAGAGTAAACAGTCAAAAGAACAACTGGTGATTCAGGAGAGCCATAATGTTACAACCCACAGAAGGCTGGATGCTGCAGCCATCCAGGTGGAATTCTTGCCAAAGTGCATGGGTTTACATGGGATTCTATCCATTGGACAAGCCTTTATGGTATTCTGCCTTTAATGCACAAGCAAACCTGCAGGTGAAGGTTGGAATCCCTGTTCCCTCTGTGCAATATTGCTGTTGTTGCCTTGTGAAGGCTGACCTAGAACAGAGACTAAATGGAGTTAAAGAATAAAGCAGGGATTTATTCAAGGATCTCCTCCACGGATCCACCTTGGGCAGCACCAGAGCCCAGCCAGGGCTGCACCCAAATGAACCAAAATGGCCCCAAAATGCACGAGCGCTCCCGGGGGCTCTCCCTGGGATCAGTTCTGCTCCATTGGCACCTTGGAGTTCATTGTCCAATTCCAGCTTTAAATTATGAAGTCCCTTCTTGTTTTTCTCTCTCCAGCCCATGTTGTTTGTGCTCTGGGGCTGAGATTTGGATATTTGTCCTTGGTCCCCAGCTGGAGAAGGAATTGTTTTGTCTCCCTGCTCTGTGATGAGAGCTCTCCATCCCCTAGTATGAAGCTCAGAATGACACACTAAAGCAGCACAGAATGTGAAAAATATAAAAGCTAAAACTTGAGGCATCACTGCTGTCCTTCAGCATCCTCTGTAACACACCTGCCCTCAGACACACACATGTTGTCTTGCCTGCCACAAATTCCTTTTCTGTGAGCTTGTCTCAGTATCCACCTCTCCACTTTCTGCTGAGGAAGGTGCACATCAGCACCTTTTCCTGCCTCTCTGCTCTTGGGAAGAGACGCAGCATCGGTAAGGCCAAACTTGGGGCACTTACTGAGAGTCTCGGTAGGGGAATGTCAGGATTTGGAGGACAGTCAGGATTTGGCAGGGAGTTTTCAGAAGCTCTTGTCTAGAAACTGTAAATGCCCTTCTAAAAAGGGCAAAACCCCAAACTTGAAACAATGCTGGTACCTGCAGGTAATTTATAATGAGCTGAAGATGGAGCAGTGTGTTTCTGTCTTCTAAATCTTCCTCTGCAAGATGACCTCCAGAAAGAGATGCCTGACCCTACTCTGCTGCAGCTTCTTGAGTGACACAATTTCTATTGCTAGGAGGACGGCACAAAGAAAGTAAGAGGAAAGAAAAGGCCCAGTCTCTGCATCCCCATCCCTGACTGAGAGGAACAGGAAAGAACCATTATCCAATTCCTTTCTAGAGAAGCCCATGAAAGCCCCTGACCTGGTGCTGTTTGTGTTTGTGAGGATCTGGTATTCAGAGTTTTTACAAACTGACCTGACACAGAGCAGCAATGCCACAAGGGCCAGAACTAAACTCCCAGCCCAAGGAGCAAAAGAGATTCCAGGTTCAGTGCACATGAGGGATGTGATCCCAGCTATTTAGGATGTATCCAGGAATTCAGCTATCTCCAAAATACTTTTGCTCCTCATGTACTTACATATCATATGGCACCAGGAGCTCTGGGAAAGGTGGCTGCACCTGGGAGGAGTGTGAAGAACATCTGTTTGCTACCCAAATGGGCAGCTTAAGCAAGAGCAAAGCTAAAATTCAAAAATAAGAAGGAATGAAAGGACATCCATGATAATTTCTCCCCCCCATTTGTAGCTATCAGAAGAAGGAATGCTCTACTGTGTGGTCTAGATATGAAACTAGTCCATGGTGTTCAGCAGAGAGCCCATGATGTGGGACACTGCAGGCCTGGGGAAGCAGAGCTGCTGGGCCAACCCCTGCCTGCCCCGAGGCTTGTATTTACCTGGACTTGGGGTTTCAGCCATTTAAAAAGAAGAGAACAAGTCAGAGAGCAGTAAACCCTAAGATCCCCAGAGACAGTGGAGAAACCAGAAGGAAGTAAAGCCATCTCCTGCCTGACATCATCCCTGATGTTTGCCAGAGAGGAACGAGTAAGAATGACAGCGTTGGAAAGGAGATCACATCCTCCAAAATTTAGACAATCTGTCAAGAAAAGCTGTCCTCCACAGCAGTAGCAGAGGATAGAAAGAAGGAAGAATGCTTTGATCCTGAAGAGCCTTTCTCTTCCTCTCTCCTGCTTTCCTCAGCTCCTGGGAAGACGATTCCCACCAGCTGTCTGTGTGACAAGGACTGGTCTGCACACAGCAGAGAGTGACAACAAACAGACACCTCAAGCCACAAACTGCAACACAGACAAAACCAAAACGTTAGGACTGACCCAGCCAATTCCCCTTCTCAAACCAAAAAAGGCTTCCCAAGGTTTCACAAAGGGAAACATCTCTGCACCGCAACAGGAACGCACATGACTCAAAATTCCATGCAGCAGATTTCCTGCCTAGGTATATCCCATATCAACTTCAACACAGAAAGCAGCTTAAATCAGTTTTATATTTGCTTTCCTGTGCCATTTATGTGTTTAAAGACCATGGTATTCTGAGGAAGAATGGAAGTGTCATTATTTTTGAGATTCAATAACACATGTTACACATTGCAGAAACTTGTATTTCCCCAACAGACAGGAATATGAGTCTGGATTTGATTAACATAAAAAGACCCTTACCAGAAAGTGAGTAATCTGTATTAGTCATCCTCATGGCTGGAGTGTAAGATACACTTGGCATGTCATGGCCCTTCTCCTTCTGTTTCCGTCGATACCACACAAAGAGTGCCAGCAAGACCATAATAATTAGAAGGAGAATAATAATTCCAATGATTGCTCCCACTGAGTGCCTCTCTGATCCAAGAGCAGGGCTAATTTTAGTATAGGGGTTTAATTCTTCCATCATAAGAGCCGCTGTTAAAAAGTAATTCATAACACACTGTAAATTGAATCGTACATTTCATTTTTGAAACACTGTTTTTTTTTAAGGCAAGTACATCATTGGAGAGGGGGAGAGAGAGAGGGAGAGAGGGATTTTACAGAGAGAATTCCACTGTACCTTGATCACATCGGATTCCTTTGAAGCCTGGACTGCAGTAGCAAGTGCCTGTGACGTGGTCACACGTTGCATTGTTCATGCACTCACACAATTGTTTGCAACCATAACCAAATGTTCCTGGAGAGCACTCTGGGGAGCCAAAGAAAAACATTGGGAAGAATTCTTCTGGTTTTGGGAATGGGCACAACACTTGCCATGGGAAATCCCATAGAGAAGTCTCCCTGGTTTTAGGATCTCTAGGATAACACCCTAATGTGAAATTATTATTAGTCTAAAGCAGGAGCTAAATGTATTCTGTGTGCAGTTTGTTACTTATTAAGCTGTAACTTTCTGGAAAATTCATAGAATTAAATCAATGATAGGTACAAAGGCTTCGAAGACCTGATGTGTAATACAAATGTTCAGAATTTAACAGAGCTTGAGCTCAGAAGCTGTAGACAACAAAGCTGAGCATTCTTCACCAACCTACCTGTTTTATTTTTTCAGGAAGGGACTTGCAAAGAAAAGTTTTAATGGACCTTAATATGAACCCAACAGCCTTTACCAAACAAACCCCACATGCTTTCCTACTCATCCCCACCAGTGCCAGGTGAATAGAACTCTGTAGGTGGAATTTCAGAACTGAGCATCTGAATGGTTTGATTTGCTCTGCTTCGGTGTCAGGATTCCTACTACAGAAGGAATTTCTATCCTGTCTTTGTGTTTCTATCAAAGACAAAATACCTGAATGTCCAGCTGAGAAATTTATTCATGCAATTACCATGATGGGCTATTACAATAAATCTGTAGGCAGCTTACTGTACTTCTGGAAGCACTATTCAAGAATAAATTGAAAGAAACAATGTCTGTCACATCCCACTTATTTCCACGGAGAAGCTGCATTACTGAAAACATGCACTCTTGCTGTGATCCTGTGGAATATATTGTTCAAGATGTGACTCCTTGTGTGTCACTGCAAATGTTTTTCATTGCATGACAACACCTCCCCAGTGTCAGTCTCAAAGTAGCTTCTGGTAGCCAAAATTTAATATTAAGTAGAGAACCAAAGCCAGTATCTGTTTATTGATTTTTGCAGTGTGTATTAAAATTGTATCTGTTGGTACTCAAACAAAGAAAAAAAAATAAAATTATTACAATTAATGCTCATTCTTTTATCAGCCTGCAGCCTACTTAAAATGAATAAGGCCTAAATTTTGGGACTGCACCACAGAAATGATGCCTGCAATTAAGCATTTCATCTGCAATGCAGTGTGACTGCCCATTCAGCAGGATTTGGAGAAGGAAGGAGCCTTAATGAAGAGATTCTTTTAGAATAAACAGTAGAAAAACAAGTAAATAAATACATTTGCAGTTTTTATAGAAAAGAAAGCATCAGGTTTATACAGGGGTCAAATCATAAAGCAGCTCCTTGTATAAAATCTGCTATTGTGCAGTTCTTTGTGGGATTCTTTAGTTTCCTATTTTCATTGTGGCTGCAGTGAAAGGTGTCCCCAAATTCCAGGAAGCTGGCCACTTACAGGATTACAGTGGTGCCATGTGCAATCCCCCAAGAGCACACAAATTTGGCCCTGAGATATTCACTTTGCTGAATGCAAGTGTGTGCAAAAACATATTTATTAATTAAGTTATGTGCACAAATTCTTCCATAAAGATCCACGTAGCAAGCTGCAGTTAAAAAGCCTTCCTTTGCAAATCTGGCAGGAAAGTTACTGAATTACCCTACTGCCAAAAAAAGTGAGGGAACCCTGTGGAATTAGTGCCTTGGGAAGATGAAGTGGATTTCACCTGTGTTTAGAATCCCAGTAAGTGGGTGAGAATTTACTGGACAAACAAGTAATTATCCAGTTACAACACATCCAGTTTCCAGGACCCTTCTTCTGTGTTCTTTAAATATTCTGCTAAATATTCCAGTAGGACATGGACAACAATTCCAGGAAAACATTCTAGATCCCTTGCAAGGGAATTGAGGTTCATTGGGAAACACTCACTGCTCAAGCTAAACAGAGATCCTTCCCAAAATGGCAAGCAACCTTGTTTTCCTTGATCTGCTTTCTTTGGAAAGATGAATCTTTATTTGGTCCATGTCTACATCATAACTTCTGTGGGAAAGCCCCATATCCCCAATATTCTTTGGAAGGCAGAGAGCAGAAAGGACTTATTGCTTTTAACCCTTTTGTCTTTGTACACTGGGAAACCTGGGGCTGCTGCTCTCAGCAGCATTGGCAAGGCCTGAGGCAGCCTCAGGGCTGGGGTGCCTTTATCAGGTACAAGTTTTTTGGGAAGGCCCCATCCAGTCAGCACTGAGTGCAGGGATTTGCTTTCTCTCATTTAACTTTAGCCTGGGAATGAAAGGCCCAATTTGTAGGGATTCACTGAATTTATTTATGCTTAAACTGCCCAGTTTTCCAGAGGTGCCCTCTCCTCCCTATGGATTATATAAGGTGCCTGGGGTCATTGTCTGCTGACAGCAACACCTCATTTAAGAGCCAGTTTGTGCAAGAATTCTGAAACTCACCCCCCTCTCTGGAGAAAGAGGGGATGAGGTCACTGGTACTTACTCTGCTCACACTGTTTGCCTGTAAATCCCGTCCTGCACGTGCACTGCCCAGTGATGTGGTCACAGTCGGCTCCGTTCTGGCACTGGCACACATTGGCACAGTTCTTCCCATAAAAAGCAGCTGGGCAACCTTTCAGCAATCAGAGCAAGGAAAGAGTAAGAAATAAGCTGAAAGTCAAATACAGATGTGTTATCAGCACAAAGTATGTGGGTGTATAAATCTATGGATTTTCAGCCTCTGTATATTTAATGACATTTATTTGATGGTCTAAATGCAGAGATACTGTGACAGCCAATTTTCTTGAAGTAATGTTTCTCATCTTTACAGAATTGCCTCTTGAGTGTTTCAGAAGAATGAAAACTTGACCCATCTATACAAACTACATTTTCAAGAAGTGAAAGAAGATGCTAAACAGAAACTCTCTGGAAGACCAGGAATCAATCAATTATTTGCAAGTGAAAGAACCTTCATAAAAGGCTCACCAGAACTGGATCTCCTCTTTCATACTGGTAATTTGGCACTAGGGTGAGAAATCACTAACATTTTCCTAAATCAGACCATAAATACTGGGGCATTAACAAGCAGGGACACTGACTGTGCAAATTCTAACAATGAATCAATAATCTAAATGGTTTCCCCCTCCTTTACCGAGTGCCAAAGGCATAAAAAACCTTGGAAAGCTTCAGGACTATTTTCTTAGGGGTGATGTGAGGTTATCAGGAGTAGGTAGCATGTGGTTTTCCAGGGAAAACTGCAGTACTTGGAAGAGACACGAGGTAGCAGCACATGCTTTGACAGATTCCCTGTCTCTGAAAGGCTTACGCTGAGTGCAGTAGAGCCCCGTCCAACCATGGGTGCATCTACATTCTCCATCGTAGGGGCTGCACAGTGCTCCGTTGTGGCAGTTGCATGAATGAAAGCAATCAGGGCCCCAAAACCCAGTGGGACAAGCTATGAAAATAAAAAACATTTGTCAGCTGACAAAACAGAAAGCAATGGTACTGTGTTAGTGCTGTGGAGGAGCAACAATAAAGGGAGAACCTGTGAGACATCAGCAAAGGCAGAACCTTGCACTGCTGAGCTTGGCAGTGACTCCTGGACAGTGACCAGTCCTTCCTGGACAGTGACCAGTCCTTCCTGGACAGTGGCCGGTCTTTCCAAGCCACCAATTGCTCTCCAAAGCCTGGTGCCACCCTATAACCTCTCCCTGGTGCAGGGATTTCTCACAGTAGGTTGATGGAGAGGATTTTGCCCCTCTGCCCTGTTCAGAGTCTGCAGAGCTGCCTCCAGCCCTGGGGAACAACAGCAGAAGTATTTGGAGCTGCTGGAGCAAGTCCAGAGGAGACCATGGAGATGCTGCAAAAGCTGGAGCCCCTCTGCTCTGGAGCCAGGCTGGGAGAGATGGGAATGTTCAGTTTGGAGAAGAGAAGGCTCCAGGGAGAGCTCAGAGCCCCTTCCAGGACCTAAAGGGGCTCCAGGAAAGCTGGAGAGGACTTGGGACAAGGGATGGAGGGACAGGACACAGGGAAGGCTTCCCACTGCCAGAGGGCAGGGATGGATGGGATATTGGGAAGAAATTCCTTCCATTGAGGGTGGTGAGGCCCTGGCTCAGGTTGCTCAAAGAAGCTGTGGCTGCCCCATCCCTGGAAGTGCCCAAAGCCAGGTTGGACACGGGGGCTTGGAGCAGCCTGGGATAGGGGAAGGTGTCCCTGCCTGTGGCAGGGGTGGAATGGGATGGGCTTCAGGGATGGCCTTTCAGCCCAAACCATCCCAGGATTCTGTGATTCTGTGATCCTCTGTGTAGGGCAGGAGGCAGGATCAGGTCTGTGCTGCAGTGACCCTCAGCATGACCCCGCTCTGTCCTGTGCCCACTCTCCATCCTCACTGGCATAATCTGTGAGGACAATTTAGGCAGGGTTGCAAGATATAGAGGTAATTTAATTTTCTTTTTGACATGCTGGAATTCTTGCATAATAAAGCCCAGCTATTCAGGTTTACTCTGCTATGCAATCAACCACTAAAATTACCACACTCATTTGAAGCACAGAGTGCTACTCCAATCATGAAAAAATGTAAAGAAAACTTCTTCCAGTATGAATTCCCATCCACAAATTTAGATTGCTATTGTTGTTGGGGGGCTAATATTAAATTAAAATCTCTGGGTCTATTTTATATTTCAACAAGTACAATATTAATACATTAAAAAAAGTTATTGTAAGCCTCCCTCCAGAAATGAATGCAGTAAGCTACAGTTATTAGTGCCAGACTAAAAGATCCGAAATTATGATAGGCCTTCAATATAACAACTATATTTTTGCTTTAAAAAGCACTTTCCATTGCTTCCTGCTAAAGACATGAATTAATAAGGCACAGTTCCCAGGAAACCTGAAAGTACAGACACCAGGCCTATTTCCATGGATGTCAATGGTTCCATGGATGAGAAATGGAAGTTTCTGGCATTTGACAGACACCTCTAAAGCCAGAATGAATGGCCAAAAAAACCCTGCCATGACGTAAATCAAGCAAAGGTCACTGGACTCACACAATGTAAAGCTGAGCAGGATTTGGCCTGAAGTGTTTGTGCTACAAGCAACCAGAAATACTTTTCCAATGCTGTTCTAAGGCAGAGCTGCAGGGGCTGTTAGTGAATCCAGAACTGGCTCTGGAGTGGAGCTAAAATTATCTCCTGAGCAGCTCCAAGTCCAGGTCATTCCAGGTTAACGGGAGGGGAGGCCAGGTGCCCACGGGAGCCCGGAGTGGGACAGGGTCACCTTGGGAGAGGCTCCCTTTGTGTGCAAGGAGTAACTGAGCAAAGAGCCACGTCCCCCTGTGCTCATCCAGACACAGCACCCACAGCCAGAGGCTGCCTGCTGAACAGCTCCTGCTGACCTGGCCTGCCTCGCTCTGTGAGGAAAACCATCTTTTTGCAAGGTTAACAGACACTAACAGACACTTCCCAATCAGATGGCTAAATATAATGAGGAATATGTGCAGCTTTCTGTCTTTTTCCCCTTTTTTTCCTGCTGTTTTTGAGTGACAGCAATATTCTGCCTGTGGAAGACACACAATAAAAGCAAAATTACAGCCGTCTGTTTTTATCCGATTCCTGCTTTATCACTTGGAGTTTAATATATTTTACTCTGGAATGCTGTCTAATATGCTAGTTGTATCCTGAATATGAAGTAACATTTCTGAATGATCGGATATTGCCTCCCTCTGTGATCTAGCTTCAATTAAGGGATGCTCTCAGGAAATGACACTTTGGGATCAGCAAATGCCAATCTTCTACCTGGGCAATTTTCAGAAAGAAATCCTTCATCCCTACAAGGCCACATTGACTTTTACAATTAAATTACATTTAATAGAAATATTTCAGCTACCTAATTTCTCAATTCTAGGGATTTGGTACATGAAAACATTTACTGGTTAATAATGTCTAAATGCAATAGCTGAAAGAAAACGATTTCAGAAAAATAAATAAAAAGGAATCCAGCTAGAAATTAAAAGGGAACATAGAGCTTTCTTTTCTGATAAGAGCTTATGACCTCCCTTTCCTGGAATAAAAGCCAGTCAGGGCTTCTGCAAACTCCAGATGCAGAAACGAATTCAATCCAAAGCTAACTTAGATTAATTAAAAGAAATCCGCTTTAAAGAGAGTAAGGCACTGGCTGTAATACAACTGGGATTTCCCCAGAATCTGTCTTTAACTTTGAGAAAGCACTAAACAAACCCATAACTAGGATATGTGAAGGCAGAGATGGAAAATGACCCTTTGCTTACTCTGGGAGCAGTCCATGCCTATCCAGCCTGGGAAGCACTGGCACGAGCCGTCGATGGGGTTGCAGGTCCCGTTCTCGGTGCACTGACACACCTCAGCACAGTCCTTCCCGAACTTCCCACTGGGACACACTGAAAACACAAGGCAGGCTCTTCAAAAGGAATGTGAGGAAATCACAGGACTCAATATTTAGCAATTAGAGATAAAATTAATTACAACGGCTTGTCTTTGATGAAGCAAAATTCCTCTGGAAAGAAGGAAAAGTATTCGAGCCCGTTTTGTTTGCATCCCAGGAGTGAAAACAATAGGAAAGAGTCATATCAAAATCCATTTTTCTGCTGGAAAATGAAGCTAATATAGACATAAGATAACAATTATTGAAGGGCAGTATGGAAGGATTACAAGAGAAGAGACAAAACAGAGAAGAGGGGTCATTAGGAAAAGAAGAGAACAAGAAAAACTTAAGAGAATTCACTGAATAGCAGCCACAAGTGAGTGGCTGAGACTGATCTAATTTCCAAGGATTTATATTTATATTTATGTGTGCTATATATCTGTTTGACTGAGAGCTATTTAACAAATGTACTGCATCCCAACAAAATCAGCACCTCTCCCTGTGTGCCCACCTAAGTGAAGTTGGAAGAAAAGAAATTCTCAATTTTTTTCCAGAGTCATCCTAAGCACAGTGACAGGAAACTAATAGACATGTAGATCTTCAACCTCCCACCAAATTATTGGAAATCTTTAATGTTAAAGTTGATGGAAAGCTCTGCTCAGTAATGAATGAAATGTTTCATTTCTGGGCTCTTATTGGCTGTGTTCCCTGACAAAAACTGATGCATTTTCAAAACAAGATAAAACATACAGTCCATCTTTGCAAAGAGTGTAACAAATGGAACTGGACTTGTATCCTGGTAAATAATAGCAATGTCAAAAAAGTGATTAAGGCACTTCCCTGAATTATGCAGCTGTTTTACCACTTCAGCCTCTCTCACTTTCTCAAAAGTAGTCTCTGCAGGTGACCTCACTCTATCCTGACTGTGAATCAGCCACAGATTGAAATCCTGAGCTGTGATTCATTGGCTTTTATATAATATACCATCCTCTGCTCTTACAACAGCAGAGTATTGTTTTCTGCTTGTGTTTCTATAGACTATGGACTTATCTGTAGGAGTGGGTAAAGCTGGGTTTGGCTTTCACACTGTGTGCTAAACAGAAACTGTTCCTTAGTGAAAAGAGATAAAACTAAGCACAATACACAGCCAGGATGGAAAGAATACACAAAGAAAGAAGGAAAGCAGAACCCTCCTATCACAGACAGCAAAACCTGAACTCATCTGTCAGCCCAGGCTCCTGGACAGGCCACACAAATATTCCCTTCCAGTGCTCTCCATGAAGCAGCTCCAGGCACTCTTTTATGGCATCTTTGAGATGGAGACAGGCAACACCACCTCAATGAAGGCTGGGGTTTGTATGTACAAAAAATGGAATTCTCAAAGGACTTCCTTAGAAGAGGAGCTGATTTGTTCTGCACCATGGAATACTGATGGATCAGGGCATATACTGATCCAAACAGAGCTGCTGGCAAAGGGACCAGGTCACTCTTTGGTGCTTTGGTGCACAAGGGCAGAGCTGGCAGAGGGGTTCCCTCCACAGGAGCTCCCCTTGTCTCTGGGAAATGGGATGATGCCCTCTGGAATGTCAGCACAGAGGGATGACAAAATGGTTTTTCTCTCTAATTTAAGCACCTGGTTGTGGACTGACAGAGAGACTCTTGTGAAGATGTAAGATCCAAATCCAAGCCCTTTTTAAATGTCTCAATCATTTTTAGAGAGCTGTAAAACAAGGCCTAATGCTGCTTCCTTCAGCAGCAGCCTGACTGTACAACACAGATTGGGATGTTAATTAGCTCAGAAAGCTCTGAAGTGGGACTCCCAAAGTCCCTGTGGGATGTCAGGTGTGCTCTAGCAGTGATAACAAGTTATTATCAACTCATCTCGCTCTGGGATTGTGAAAGATATTCATAAAGCAGCTGTTTAGTTGTTTGCAGCTCAGAATCCTTGGTACAACTGAGTCAACCTGTGCAGTTTTGGGGGTTACACAGTTCCTCACATACACAGACTGCTGGTGGAAAAATGTTCCTGCTGCCAATGGCACAAGGAAATGAAAATTCCGAAGTGAAATCTAAATTTCACGTTTTTCTAATGGAAAATTAATTAGCATTTTTCTTTCTACAAAATAAAGTTACATGTTAACTCATTATGACAAACTGCAACACAAATGGATTTTAATTAGGACATGAATATTTTAAGATTAATTTGCTAGATAGATCAACATTTCAAAGTAAAACCAGAAGTGCTGAACATCTGAGCAAAAATAAAATAGTTTTCTTAAGAGGATAATTAGACCTGCTTACGCTTTGAAATCTGGCTAACGTTTCACATAAAATGGACAAATTCACTGAAATACGTTCATTTTAATAAATTAATTGGTGTAACGTTTAGTTGACTATACAGCACAGGAAAAAAAAAAAAAAACTCCATGGTTATTATTTAATCTATGTTTAATGATTTTGGGTAACTGCTGCCTGCAATCCCAACTTACTGAAAACCAGGTCATTGAAAGTGTCATTCAATTTTGGCAAGGATGGAGACTTCACAGGGGCAGTGGCCACTACAAATCACTTCTTTTAAATATCTGTATAGAAAATACCCACTGCAGTATGCAGCAACTGAGAGTGCAGAAGGCTGAGGGATTGTGTGTGTATTTTTAGGATGAAAATGACACCTGGAGTTAAATGTGGAACTTTGAAAGGTACAGAAAGGTTATGGGTGTCTGGGGAGCTGAAGTTCCTCTTCACCTGTGAAAATGAACTCACTTCCCTACCTCACTACAAACTTTCCTGTCTCCTCCACTTGTGTCCATGGTTTTAGCTATTCCCAGCCAGGTTCTGCACAGTGCCAATGAGGTTTTGTGCAAAACTGGCTGTTCAGGATTGCTCACCTGAGCTGGCCTTTACCTTAACCAGTACCTCCCTGTCCTGCTGCAAAGTTCACATGAAGGTGCTCTCAACATTCAGGTGAGGACAGGCTGAGCAGCCAGAAAAACGAAGCCATTGGATGCTGATGTATTTACAGCAGGTGTCTCATTCCACAGTCATTTCAATCCAGTGTGGCAGAGCTGGTTTATTTATGAAACCAGGAGCACATCGTATTTACAAGAGGGTGACAGAGTACCCGTTTGCATTTTCCCTCCGAAGGAAAGATTTGCTTGGGATGTGACAGAAGTGCAAAAAGCAGGGGCTGGGATGGAGCCCGGGAGGGAGGCGGTACCTTGGTTGCAGAGGGGCCCGGAGAAGCCCGGCAGGCAGTCGCAGTGCCCGGACACGTGGTGGCAGGGACCATTGCTGTGCACGCACTGGGGACACGGCTGGCTGCAGTGGTGGCCGTAAAAACCGGGGGGGCAAACTGCAAACAGAACAAACCAAGCTGTCACAGGTTTTCCAACATTTTCTCATCACTCAGAGCTCGAGAATTCTCTGTCTGTCTTAATCCCAAACCAATATTTCTTAATTTATCAACCGCGGTTTTGTGGACAGCTGAGACGATGAATGCTGTTGGATTGTTGCATGTTCAATAAAGTGCAGGCTCTGGTAAAACTGCTCCTGTGTTCAAACATTCCCACCTTCCTTCCTCATGGAAGTCCTTGGCTATTTAATACCACAGTGGAGTTCTCAGCAGCCTCTCTCAGGACGTTCATTTGAGTCTCTCTGACCTGGACACTTTGACAAAACAGGAGTTTAAGATGTTTGAGACCTCACAGCAGATATGGTTAATAACACACATTCCAAAGGTTTTAGGATAGACAGGAAAAGAAACAATTGGCATACATGTACAGACAACAGAAATGGCAATTGAGTCAAGAAATCAGAGAAGGTGTATTAGGAAACAATATTTTATGTCAAAACTACTCTACCAAAAGCTGATTTCCAAACCTATCTGGTGCAATGCCTGTGCTCAGCTGGGGCAGTAATTTTATACATTTCCTGGGAGGAGCAACAGCCATCAAGTGATGAACAGAACCCAATAATGGTAATCATGTAACACCATACAAAATCACCTGATTTGAATCAGTAATCACACCAGATAGCTGGGTAAACTTGTAATGGATTGTGTGCTTATTTTGCCTAAAACCTGGATTGAAATTATTATAGAATTTGTACATCAGGTACAGAATCAGGATTATGGCTCAGTATCTCTTCTAAAAGCAGATTTTTGCTTCTAAGAGCATGTAGAGTGAAAAAGCATTCACTGTCCAAACATTCACAGCAATACATAACACAAAGAAATGTTAAATTGCAGTAAGTGACAGTAAAAATAACTTTATATGTTTTTATTTTTACTCCTGTGATTCTCTGTTCTATAGTTCTGGCTCAGTGGTTACTAAATCATGTCTGTTCTATTTTTCCAGCAAATGAGAATTTTCTCTTGGACTGTATGTTCTCAGAGGGTGTCAGGCTCTTACCCCACTGCACATTTCCAGCTGGAGCTTAGCTGACAGGTTGGTTGATGATGCAGTAGCTATAAAACAACCTGGGTCATTCCTGGAGACATTTCTGCAGGCTTAAGAGCACTAAACCATCCCAGTGTCTCATGTAATCCTGATTACATGGACAGGACAAGTTGGCTGAGTATCATCTTTAGTATCATCCTCAGCTATGCCTTGTAATAAAACAGCCTAAATCCTGTTTCTAAATTAATTTCTAAGAGAAAAATGTGGATGATTTTGAGAACAAGCTTAGCAAGGTCTCCTGTTCACGAGGTATTCTTGAGCTCAAATCTCAGAAAGGAGCTGGAAGCAAGCTGAATTCCCAGGCCAAATACTCACAGAGGCAATAGCAGAAGCATCCACAGGATCCCTCTGCTGTCACCCCACTGGGGAGGAAAATTTCTCTCCATTAGATCCTTAGCAAACACCCTCAGGGAGCAGCCTGATTGCTGGGCTTGCAAACTGGGCACGGTTTGCTCTTGTAGCCTGCATGCCAACAGCTGATGGAACCAAGCTGGGTTTTTTTCATCTCAGAAAGGTCAGAAACTATTAACTTCTGGAAGTTTTGCACTCTAAAGGTTTCAAATTTGTAAAACATTTTCTTCTTCATCTCCCTAAAGCTCTGAGTTCCACATTTTAGCCTTGGAGAGAGGTTTTACAGCTACACAGATATGCTGAAGCACCTGGAAATTGGGGTTTATAATGGAAATGCTTATAGGCCATTAATGACAGCAGTACTAGAGGTCATTGTTATAATGGCTTTAAATAAAAACCGTCAGCTACAAATTATTTTTAGAGATGAGTGTGTTCTAGTGTCAAGTGTAACTGGTAAAATCAAAGGGATATATGAACTGGGCATGCAGAATGTCTTACAGCAAGAAGAAATGCTGAGCAGAATAGAAAGACAAATCCACTTCTTGTTTACATGGGAAGATGGTTGGTGTAGTTTGAATCAGTGAATTAGGGTCCCTATGGGGCAAATGCAGCTTCCCAGATAAAGCAAATGAGAGGATTTTTATCTGCCTGGTACATTTTAATATGTAGCAGCAGAGCATCAAACAGGAGCTATTTTGGGCTGCTGTGTTTCTTTTTCTGGCATTTAATAAAACATTGCCTTGTTATTTTGATGCCAACACTCATCCACTTGTCATGATATGATGGGTGGTGGCTGACTGTTTAACAGGTCTGCCTTCACTGCAAATCTGTGTCCTGCCAGCTTAGGTTTGTAAAGGTGCTGCTCCTCCTTCCAGGTCACCTGTGACCTCCAGGTGTGATTACAAGATGAAACACAAGGCACAGCTCAGTGCAGGAGAGTTCTTGATGAAGGAGCATTTTCCAGGCTCTTTTGCCCTCAGGAAGTCATGAGCTAAAGCAGCTCAGAAACCATGGATTTGTCTGTCTGGTGTCATAAAGGAGCATTTCTGCCTTGCTTCTGCCAGCTATGGGAAATCTTACTTCTCTGGCACAAGGGCCCTCTGTATCCCGGTGCACAGTCACAGGTTCCATCCTCAGGGGAGCAGGATCCCCCGTTCTCACAGCTGCAGGAGATGGAGCAGTTGGGTCCCCAGCGGCCCTGGCTGCAGATGTTGTCACAGTGGATGCCTAAGGACACAAAGCCACACGTTAGGCTTTCCACAACTCTTACTCTGCTCATTGATCAAAGCAATGCTTGGCTGGACTGATGCCTCACAGTCCCTCAGAGCCAGCGAGGGAGTCTGAGAAGGAAACAGCTCCTCTTTGATCTGCTTAATAAAGTGAAAATTAAGAAAATGCCAGAGAGGTGAATTCTGTAGGTGTTAGTGGGCACCTGTTCAGTCCTCAGCACCATTAAAGAAACTCTGCATGTCATCCAAGAGATGAAGATAAGGAATCATTTTAAAGTCACAAAATAGCCAAAATAACTGGTTTGGAAATAGGCAGTTGATTGAAGCCTGATTACTTACCTGTTGTGAATTGGACGACCATAAAAAGAAAGATCAGGATTTTGCAAAAACATGTTCAGTATTTGGATTCTTGAACACAAGTAAATTAAGCTCTATTTTGTGTTCTGTTCCCTTCCTGGCTTAAACCCCTGTGCTCTGGTGTTTTGTGCAAATACCCCACATCCACCCAGAACTCCCCAGTTCTGTGTGAATGAACTGAGTTCTGATCCAGCAAGTGGCCATATGTGAGCACAGGCTGAGCATTTGCATGTTAAATGGAGACTGAGACCTGCCAATCCAGCTCCCAGTGCTTCCCAGGGTGCTGGTTTGATATTTATTATTATGAAGAGCAAAGCTTGGGAACACTGAAAGGAGCACACAGCCAGGAAACTTAACACAAGGTTTCTGGCACGGTTTCAACTGGCTTTGTTTAAAATGGTGATTTTTAAAAACAACCTTGTGCCATGGCTTGTCACATACAAATGTGATTGAAGGAGCTGATCCTGCACACTGTGTCTGAGAAGCTCTCACTCCACTGGAATAAGGCAGTACCAATACCTGCAATTAGCAGGGCTATTTGCATGATCAAGGGCTCCTTGGATGGGTTTGCAGGAGCATGAACTAAGAGGGACACTGAGCAGTGCCAGCTGCAGGGAGTGGCACTGGCAGAAGCACCTAAACAGCAGAAATGGATCAGAGACTGGCTTGGAAATTTTTCTTAGAACACAACCCCAGGGGGAACCTGGCTCTAAGATCGAGGGGTACCCACATGCCCCAGCTGGGCTTCCAACCCCGACCTGAGATGTTCTTTACTACCCTTGACCTGAGATGTTCTTCACCATCCCTGACCTGAGATGTTCTTTATCACCCATGCACATGTCCCACAGTGGGATCAAAGCAGCCCAGGGGTTGGATTAGTGCAGCTCTCTGCAGAAACACAATCCAAATAATTTCCTGCACCTCTGATAACTTCATCTGGATGCTGGAGGTAATGCACTGCATTTGGGGAGCTGTGATCTGTACAGTCACCAAACCCTGAGCATTATTAAATCAGCTGAAAGTCATTATAAATACACTTACAGTGCAGTTTCAAGTTGGTTTTATAAATCTCTGAAGTTAACACAGTAAGAAATACTGCAGAGCCAAAATTTCCCTTTTCTGAAGATTAATCATACAATTATAATGTCCCTTCCTAGAAAATCTTAACCAAGTCTGGCAAAAGAACAGTTTGAAATGTGATTTCTAGTAACACATGATCTTAGCTTTATTTATAAAGAGACATGGACCATTCTGTACAGCTTAATAAAAACCACATTAAAATACAGTAAAAACTTAATACAAGCTCAATTCTTTCATATCCAAGTAAATAAATCTGAAAAAAGGGACCATGAAAAGAGACAAGGAAGATTTGTATTAGTAAAACCAAGAAAAACAAATATTTTAAAGTCTTCCCTGATCCCTTTGAAATCAAATATATCCTTGGATTACTTAAACGAGTGTTTTGTGTGTGCATTTATGTCTTTATCCACAGTACTCTGTAATTAAAAAGTCAGATGATAAATTTTAAATAAATAAATGTGATTGTATTTATAAATACATATAGATGATCATTTATAGCCTTGAGTCTCAGTGTGAGCTCCCTGAACTGAAATTCAGACACAAACACAAAAAAATGTGCATTCTTCCTCCCAATTGCAGCATTAAAATTATGATTTTTTCATTGTGTAATGTCTATTTATAAATGGGGACAATTAAACAGCATTATTTCTTGTCTCTTTTGACAAAGTTTGGGGAAGAATGACGCAGACTCTTTTCTTGTGGAAGGTACCTGAATTTGAATGCCAGGGCTATGCTTGCAGCAGCAAAGCCCTTCCTTTGGTAATGAGTAATGAGGGATGTCTTCCCTCTCCTAACGAAGGCAATGAGTCATTGTGGAGCTGATTGCTGTAGCAAAATGGAAAGGGGGGAAAGGAGACTTTCCAGAAGCCACTGGCACCCATTACAACCCTTATTTATTTGTACATTTCCAGAAGACAACCGATGTGGTGCCGCAATCGGGTTTTATGACTTTTTATTACTTCAAGTTAATTCTCATGGAAGACTTCATTTTTGAAGGCTCCTACATGCATTGAATTGCAAATATAAATGAGAAGTTAAAATTGCATCTGGACATGCAAGTCTTACGGAATTGTGCTGCAAAAAGCACCTTAATTTTACAATTCCCTAACCTGACAGCATGTGAAGGGGGAGTCCATTCCTCCCAGCTACTTTACAGTCAGAGTCAGTGAAGCAGCAAGATTCTGTAATGTAAAACTTTAATATTTATTTAGGAACTTGCTGATGAACATTTCTGATAAGCAATTAGTTTTCAATTTCCAGAACTACAAAACCTGCTGAAGTTGACACACCTCTGTATTACCTCATGTTACAACCACAGATTCCTAATTTATGAACAAAGTCCTGGTTTCTCATGCATGGTGTAGAAATTAGAAAGACAACTATCAGAAGTCCTTGAAGCTGCAGGGAGCAGCTCTCTACACAAACTCTATTGCCTGGGTACCAGGGAATTATCTGCCAGCCCGAGGCTGTGGTTCAGAAGTGCAGACACTGGTATAAAATTACACTTCCAAGACATTTTTAAACAATGTTCTGGGGCTGAATTGTAGATGAAATTCACATAACTTATAAAATTATAGTTATCCACTGGACATGGGCAAAAGATCTGCACTTTTGCAGTAAGACAGAGCCCAGGTAAGAGCAGAGCCCACTGTGGCTTTAGTTCAATCTGTGAAACAGCAGCCACAAACTCTCCGTGGCCCAGCAGGATCTGGGGTATTGGATTTCTGCAAGCACTGGCTGCTTTCCAGTGGGATTCCCTTTGGGCTGCTCTGTACATGGCATTTAGCTGACAATCCCAGGAGTGCCTTCACTCCCTTTTCCCCACACCAACCTCCTTTGCACACTTGGTGGGGAGGAAGAACAGTCCTGAGGGCCTGAATTACTGTGGAAAACACAAACTGGGCTCAACTCAGCCCATCAGAGCAGTCACAACTGCACTGTTCCACACAGGAGAGCTGCTCCAAACTCCTGCCCCTCCAGGACAATTTCCTAGCAAGTGTCCAAGCAGCTGCTGTCTGGGATGTGGGGAATATCTGGGGTAACTCGGCCCAGGCTTCCCAAAGTTGAAGCCATTTGGCTGGGCAGGGATCTTCCAGTGTGGAACTGCAGGTAATTCTGATAAAGGAAAGCAGCAGGGAGAGGTAGAGGAGAAAGAGAATCCCAGAATCTCAGAATAGTTTGGGTTGGAAGGGACCTTAAAGCTCATCTTGTCCCACCCCTGCCATGGGCAGGGACACCTTCCACTGTCCCAAGGTGCTCCAAGCCCCATCCAGCCTGGCCTTGGACACTTCCAGGAATCCAGGGGCAGCTCCAGCTTTTCTGGGCACCTGTGCCAGGGCCTCCCCACCCTCACAGGGAAGAATTCTGTCCCAATATCCCACCTAACCCTGCCCTCTGGCAGTGGGAAGCTGTTGATAGAAACTTGTGTCTGTCTTACATGCAGCAGTTTCAAGTTTGACCAGACGAAATTAGTCTTTGTATTCAAATTTAGAAATCAACTGTGATGGATTAGTCCAACATCCACACAAGCATCAGGAAAAGGAGCAAGAAAAAGAAGAGGAAAAAACCCCCCAAGCCATCCAACTGGGATTTGAGGCATCTATTGAAAAGCTCCTTCACAGGCTGCTTCCGTTAATAATCTTCAGCGGCTTCAAGAAAGTTTGTCAAAGTAATGCAGATTTAGTGCTGCCCATAACTACATCATGCTGAAGGACTTTGGAGGGGAAAATTCCTGAAAGCCAGACAAAAGCAGAACTCCCTTTTTTCGCTCTCCAGCTTCTGCAATTGCACTATGCTTGGGGATTACGTCTCTGGCTCTTAATAAAGCTGCCATTGTTTCTCTGCTGTGTCTCTGGATAGTTGGAAACTAATACTCCAAACACAATAAAAGAGCAAAAATGGATGGAATAAATGAGAACCAGTGGCCTGGTTTTGACCACTGCTATCCCCCTGACAGTAGCCTCTGCAGCAGTGCCTGCACACTGCCCAGGATCTAATTATTTTTCAGGGATGTAGGAATTTGATAAATTATAGGATGTAGCTCCCTCCCCCCCAAGTACTTTAATTTTACATCTACCAGCGTATAACTGTAATTATTTCTCTGAATAAGATCTTCAGGTTTTTTTTCTTTTTTCCCTCAATAGTCCCAATCTAAAGACAGATGCAACATCAATTAGGAATGACAGGAATGATTTCAGCAGACATTTGAATCCAACACAAACATTGTGCTCTCCTCCACCTGTCTTTCAACATGACATGAAGTCATAATAATCTCTTATTTCTGGCATTTGAATAGCTTTGGAAAGAGCTGCTTTTGATGCAAAAATAGGCACAGGATTTATGCAGGCAATGCTGTGAAGGCCTGAGGTTTGGTGAGTCACGCTTGGCTTTGATGTGGAATGCTGGTGGCTCGTGTCTCTGGCAGGATGGAGCCTCAGAGGTGCTTTGTACCTGCTGACAGGTGCCCAGCACAGCACACACCCTCCAGCTGACGCTGCAAGGCTGCCTGGGGTGGGAGGTGTGGGCAGAGGCCAGCAGGGAGCTGAGGGTACTGGGAACAGG